CGTGATTGCGCCTGCACAAAGACAAGGCACAATGTCAGGATATGGATGAATACGAGAAGAACTACATGACAGCAAAAACCAAATGCTTAGGCAAACGAAACCGAGACTTTACCTTGAGGACTGGGACAGTGGACCAGGCGGAGTGTGGATGAAGGTGGCTGGCGAATGGCAGATGGTTGGTGGCGAAAGGCGGGCGTAGCGATTCCCATGGTCCAGGCAGATATGATGAAAACGAACTTCTTCCTGTCTTTGGATCTTGAACGTGAGAACCTTTTGACGTGATTGCGCCTGCACAAAGACAAGGCACAATGTCAGGATATGAAAGAATAAGAGAAGAACTACATGACAGCAAAAACCAAGTGCTTAGGCAAACAAAACCGAGACTTTACCTTGAGGACTGGGACGGTGGACCAGGTGGAGTGTGGATGAAGGTGGCTGGCGAATGGCAGATGGTTGGTGGCGAAGGCGGGCGTAGCGATTCCCATGGTCCAGGCAGATATGATGAAAACGAACTTCTCCCTGTCTTTGGATCCTGAAGGTGAGAACCTTTTGACGTGATTGTGCCTGCACAAAGACAAGGCACAATGTCAGGATATGGATGAATAAGAGAAGAACTACATGACAGCAAAAACCAAATGCTTAAGCAAACGAAACCGAGACTTTACCTTGAGGACTGGGACGGTGGACCAGGCGGAGTGTGGATGAAGGTGGCTGGCGAATGGCAAATTGTTGGTGGCGAAAGGCGGGCGTAGCGATTCCCATGGTCCAGGCAGATATGATGAAAACGAACTTCTTCCTGTCTTCGGATCTTGGAGGTGAGAACCTTTTGACGTGATTGCGCCTGCACAAAGACAAGGCACAATGTCAGGATATGGATGAATAAGAGAAGAACTACATGACAGCAAAAACCAAGTGCTTAGGCAAACGAAACCGGGACTTTACCTTGAGGACTGGGACGGTGGACCAGGCGGAGTGTGGATGAAGGTGGCTGGCGATTGGCAGATGGTTGATGGCGAAAGGCGGGCGTAGCGATTCCCATGGTCCAGGCAGATATGATGAAAACAAACTTCTTCCTGTCTTCGGATCTTGAAGGTGAGAACCTTTTGACGTGATTGCGCCTGCACAAAGACAAGGCACAATGTCAGGATATGGATGAATACGAGAAGAACTACATGACAGCAAAAACCAAATGCTGAGGCAAACGAAACCGAGACTTTACCTTGAGGACTGGGACAGTGGACCAGGCGGAGTGTGGATGAAGGTGGCTGGCGAATGGCAGATGGTTGGTGGCGAAAGGCGGGCGTAGCGATTCCCATGGTCCAGGCAGATATGATGAAAACGAACTTCTTCCTGTCTTCGGATCTTGAAGGTGAGAACCTTTTGACGTGATTGCGCCTGCACAAAGACAAGGCACAATGTCAGGATATGGATGAATAAGAGAAGAACTACATGACAGCAAAAACCAAGTGCTTAGGCAAACAAAACCGAGACTTTACCTTGAGGACTGGGACGGTGGTCCAGGCGGAGTGTGGATGAAGGTGGCTGGCGAATGGCAGATGGTTGGTGGTGAAAGGCAGGCGTAGCGATTCCCATGGTCCAGGCAGATATGATGAAAACGAACTTCTTCCTGTCTTCGGATCTTGAAGGTGAGAACCTTTTGACGTGATTGCGCCTGCACAAAGACAAGGCACAATGTCAGGATATGGATGAATAAGAGAAGAACTACATGACAGCAAAAACCAAGTGCTTAGGCAAACAAAACCGAGACTTTACCTTGAGGACTGAGACGGTGGACCAGGCGGAATGCGGACGAAGGTGGTTGGCGATTGGCGGTGGTTGATGGCGAATGGCGGGCGTAGAGATTCCCATGGTCCAGGCAGACGGGTCAGCTCTAATGTTGTACCAAGTGACACCTGCATAAGAAAATATGGAAATGCCAAGTTAAAATGGGTTGGCTTGGTACAACAAGCTTGGTGCTCGAAGTCATCAGCGTTGGTGCAAGTTAACAGAAATCTTACATTGAAGATTGACGTTCAGCTCTTAACTTCGTGCTCCTTTGAAGTCTGACTGCTCCCCTTGAAGTTTGAAGTTTGGTCGCTCCAATGAGTGAAGTTGTAAAGACTGACTTTAGGTGGTGTAGTCGGAGTCCCACACCTCTGCATATGACACAAACGGTAAGTTAGTAACTGCTGAATAATCAACAGAGCATTATTCCGAGTCAATCGCAATGTGTAAACGAAAATCTTACCTTGGGAGTTGAAGAGGCGGACAGGCGGATGGCGAAGTGAGTGTGAATGAGAGTGTGTGAGTGCGTGCGTGCGAACGAATGAGGGCGAACAATGAACGTCCATGATCGTCCGAATGGCCACAGCTAGCAGAAGGGAAGAGAGTTTAAATCGCGTCCTAGCTAACGTTAAAAGCAAAAGCAACGAAGTCCTACCCATACCCGCGGAGGAACATCTACCAACCGCAGCCACCATCGAATCAGAGGGACGGTGACAACGAGATAAACGAATGATGGAATGAGTGCGTGATTGATGGCGTGCGTGCGTGATTGATGGCGGATGGACCGATTCCCATGGTCCAAAAAGGCAGCAGCCAGCGTGTGATGAAGGTGGCTGGCGATTGCCAGAAAGAGGATAGTCGAAAGCAGATGGAGCAAGCCGAAGTTCATCTTGATGGAGTCTTAAGAACTTAAACTGACGATGCCTGCACACAGCAAACGCATAAATATGTCAGGCTGTGAACGAATCCAAAACGAACAACTAGAAAGCAAGAAGGAAAAGCTTAGAGAAATAAATACTGACACCTTACCTTCACAAATGAGATGGTGGACCTAGAGGCAGGCGGAGAGTAGAAGCTGGTGGCAAATGGCGAGTGGCGAACGACGGTTGCAAATCCCATCGTTGAAGTCCATCCCGAGCAACATCTTCCATCTTCCTCTTCAGCGTCCAGATCTCAAAAGTGAGATTTTAATACTCATTCTGCCTGCACACAGACACAGCGTAATATCAAGATATGGACAATTGAAAAGGACAAATAAAAAAATTGCTTGGTTAAACGAAACCGAGACTTTACCTTGAGGACTGGGACGGCGAACCAGGCGGAGTGTGGATGAAGGTGGCTGGCGATTGGCAGATGGTTGATGGCGAAAGGCGGGCGTAGCGATTCCCATGGTCCAGGCAGATATGATGAAAACGAACTTCTTCCTCTCTTTGGATCTTGAAGGTGAGCTTTGAAGTGGCTGTGCCTGCACACAGACAAGGTGTAAACATATCAGGATATGGACGAGTGAAAAACGATAAAAAAAAGTGCTTGGTTAAACGAAACCGGGACTTTACCATGGTTGATGGCGAAAGGCAGGCGTAGCGATTCCCATGGTCCAAGGCCGAAACGGGTCGACGTGCTCGTAGCAGCAGCAGCTGAAGGAGAGGAGCTGCTTGCAGCAGCAGCAGTGGAGCAGCTCAGAGTGGAGAGGAGCGAGCAGCTCGGAGCCCCAGGAACTAAGGATTGAGGCCAACACTATCAAAATCGCATATGCTACAGTGGAAGCGAGCATACTCTCGCCGCTGAAGTAAAAAATAGAGTGAACATCGTAGATCACCAGTTTATATAACGAGCAGTGACGTAGGGAGAACTGTGGGTCGAGAGAGTAGGAGAGAAAAAAGGGTAGGGCAAAGCGGCCGCGGTTGTTCTGAGCCTATCATGTCGTGGCGCATCGAATACGAAAAGGGCGGTGGTTCTGAACCTATCCTGACGTCGCGCATCGAAAACAAAAAGCTGCTGTGACTGGCTCTCTTTTTTTATACGAGGCTGCGGCTGCGGCTGCGGCTGCGGCAGTGGCAGAGGCTGGCTCTCAAATTTGATATGCGGCTGAATGCAAGAATGGCTGTGGTGAGCGGCTGTGGTCAGCGGCTGTGCCGCTTTGGCAGCCGCTATACAGTTTTTGGTCTGGCGAGTATGATTTCCTTGTCTCTTTCAGCAGCTCAATCATCAATGCTCTGGCGCCAAGAGAAGGCTGCTGGAGGCGAGGGTTTGAGCTACAGTGCCTCCCCCGAGAGGCAGGGGACTGGGTGGGGTGGGGTGGGACGCGGCGAGGATTGAGCTACAGTGGCTCCCATCAGGTCAGTGGGGAGTACTGTGGAAGGGAGGGGGGGAGGGGGTGAGGGTTTCATCAATTCGATGATGGGTGACTAGTGGTCCCCACCCAGAGGTTGGGTTTCTATGAACTTTATAGGGTAAACATTAGGATCTGATCATAATAGACCTTGCTATTATACAAATCGTGTAACCAGCCCCTAATTGCATTTCTCTCTCACATAAAGCACGTAAATTCACCGTTGAAACGGCCAAAGCTTATTTAGACGCCGTTATTGCTCTGATACCATGTCAAAAGACCAGCTTAGCTAGGAAGCCATAGAATGGCACAAGGTTTAGCTAGGAGCTAGGAGGAGCCATGAGAATGGCGAGAGGTTTTAGGTGCTAGGAAAGTTGAGGAGAGAAAAGAGAGTTGGATTAGAAGAGAGGGGAGTACAAGGAGGGGTTTGTACCCCCTACAGAAAGGTTCAGTAACAACCTACCAAGCCTATATTAAATTATAACTTATATAATTTGAACACTGGTGTCTCATCTCCCTAAACAGTTCGTGCGACTCGGTTTTTGTAGTTTACGGCGCGCTTCGGCCTTGTGTCAGGGCTTCCTTCTGTGTCGCAAAGAGACAAGAGCTGCGTGTCAAGGACTGAATGGCGGCGCGTCGCAAAAGAGTGTGACGCTATTTTGGATGGTAACATTTCGCCCTGTACTGCGCTGCCGCCAATTCGCCGTCCCTGCCGACTCCCTAGGCCCAAATTGGGTGATATTCCGAACCACTGAAATCTTCTGTACAAACAAAAACATACAATTTACATAGCCTAGAATCGAATGGTTCAAGCAAAATAAACAATGTTGTTAAAAAATTCTTATGTTCATGTTACTTGATAGCAACTTTATTAAGCTGAGCAGCCCTTGTAAGTAGAAGACTCGGGTTACATCCATTCAAGGTGGCATGGCATGGCAACCTTTCATTTCATGGCCAATGAGTTGCCCATATCCCCCAATTGGGTTAACACATGATAGGATGGAAAGGCATGTACAAGACATACAACCGCTTGACGAGTAAAATCAAATAAGAAAAATCATTAACAATGCCAGCAGTGCAGACAACATGAGAGCAGGAAGACCTCTTTGCATGCGATGCGACCGCTTGTCCCTGGGTGCCTCAGATGACTCCACCTGGTGTAAGTGGGCGGGGGCAGTGCAGCAATATTGTGGAAAAGAAATGCAGGGATCAGAAAAACACGAATTGCACAATAGACTGGGGAAAGGCTTTTGAAGACAAGGAGACGCCTCAACGACGACAACGACCCCCCTAGCTCCCTCCCCCCCCCCCCCCCCACACACCCCACCCCCTCCCTCCCCAAACCTTGCAACAACGAACCCCTCTAGCCCCCCCGACGATGACGACGACCCCCCCAGCCCCCCTCCCCAACCCTGGCTCCTCAACGACGCCTCCCCCCCCCGCCCCCCTCCTTAGCTCCTCTCCCCCCCCCCCCCCCTTCCCCTTCTCTCCCAGCCCTTACAACTCAAGTCAACAGAACAGATGGCACTTTCCTGCCTCCGCTATACCTTAGTTTCGAAGGATAACGTGTGTTCACGTGGTCCCTGCAGGGCGTTGGGCTTTAGCCATTTCCTTTTCTGCTTTGTTACAACTGAAATATAACCGAAACCTTAACCGAAGGCAAGGAGAGAAGCTGATTGGCTGGTGAGCAGCGGTTTGCTTGCCTGTGTGAAGTTGGTGAAGCCGAAGGTGAAGGTGGACATGCCGCGGTACCCTGTCACCTGCGAGTACGCCGCCGAGGGGTACAGCCCCGACACCAGGTACTTGGTGGGGCGGTCAAAGACGCTGGACGTGACAGGCGTGTTGGTGGTCTCGGTGTTGGCTGTGAAGTAGCTGGCGTACAGGTCGAAGTACGTCGTGCTCACCACCTGCCCTATTCCCAGCACCTGCATGGTGGGGGATGGAGTGGGTTCGTGGTGAAAGGGAGACGGGGAAGGGAATGTGCAGGGCGGGGGGGGGGGAAAGGGGAGAGGGCGATGGAGCGAATGTGCAGGGCGGGGGGGGGGGGAAGGGGAGAGGGGGATGGAGCGCATTGGTGCGAGACAGACGGGGGGGACTGGGAGCATGGAGGGCGGAGCCAATCAGACAGTCGGGCGGTACATAGCAACCAGCTGTGGCGAAGAGACGCATGCCGCACCGGCAAGCATGTGCACGGGCGCACAGGGGCGGCCGGCGCAGCAGCACTGACCTGTCCGGCGCTGGTGGCATAGTAGTTGGTGGGCCCCAGCGTGTACTTCTGGTCGTACCCGAAGATTGCGGGCGGCTGCACGCTGCTCGTCCATATCATGCCCAGCCGCGGAGCGGCGCTGCGCACACAACGGGAGGGGAGCGCGGGAAAGAACATGGGGAAGAATGTGCGGAATGCGCGGGAAAGAACATGGGGAAGAATGTGCGGAATGGAGGAAGAACGAGGGGAACTTGGCGGACGAGGTCAGAGCGCGGGGTGTGGGCGTGGGAATGCGAGGCGGAGGGTGAGAATTGGGCAATGAGAAGCGAGCACGCAACGGCGGCCGGGTGGATGGGGCTCACAGCGGGGTGAGGATGGATTTGGCTCACAGCGGGGTGAGGATGGATTTGGCGAGCAGCTTGGAGCCGAAGGGCGAGAGCAGCGGGCGGCTCTTGTACATGGTGCCGGACGACGTGGCGAAGTCGGCGCCCAGGAACTCCTTGGGCGGCGTCTGGAAGATGGGCGTGCCCTTGGTGACGCTGCAGAAGCCGTTGTCGTTGAACGCGCACCCGGCGCCCGTGACGTTGACGGCGGCGGGGTCGGCGTGGAAGAAGGTGACGAACACGTGGCACGAGACGCACGTCTCGTTCGCCGCCTGCGTGCCGTTCATTGGCGTCGGGTCCTCCTGGCCTGCCGGGCGAGAGGAAGCCGTCGGAGGGAGGAGTTCGGGAGAATACAGGAGCGGACGGGAAACGGGAGTGCGGGTGAAGGAATGTGTGGGTGGAGTGAGATGGGAGCGAGATGAAAGCGAGGGGAAGCGGGAGCGACGGGAAGCACTGTTTCCCTTGTTGGCAGGAATGGACGAGGCGCAACGACGAGCAGCACGCTAGTTACCGGCGAGGAACGGCAGTGCGCCGAAGGGGTTGTACATGACGCCCACATGGTTGAACACGGTAGCGGGAGACCCTGTAACGGAGCACGGCCAGAGACGATCGCAGTGGCATGTCAGTGGCACGGTAATGAAGGTGGTAAGAGAGCGTTACGCGTAAGGCTTGGTGTGCCACGTCCACGGACGGGACAAGGCGGGATGGCGCCTGCGCGAGGACAAGGCGGGATGGCGCCTGCGCGAGGACAAGGCGGGATGGCGCCTGCGCGAGGCATACGGACCGGGCGGGAGCGGGAAGGACTCGTAGGCGGGGTTGGTGTAGCCGAAGAGCTCCTTGAAGTTGGGCGGCGGACTCGCCTGCCAGCGCGGCCAGCGGGGATAGGCACGGGGATCAGTCAGGATCGACGATCACGCAACCAAAATCAATCAACCGTAATCTAGAAAGCCGTTAGTGAAGGTCGTTTCAGCAATCAAATGGATTCGAACTCTACGGCGCTCGGTGGAGCTCGGTGGAGCTCGGTGGAGCTCGGTGGAGCTCGTTGGATTGGTGGATTACCTGGAAGAGAATGGATTTATCGTCGACCACGATGCTGACGTCAGCCTGGAATATGGAGCTACGATAGGTCGCGCGCACAGCGCTGGTGGACGGCGTTATCACAACGCTGCCACACGACATCGAGGGGAAGGAGGAATAACGCCATAAATGTTGAGTTTTTAAAGTCAAATTACCAGCCGACGTGCTTCGTTCAGCAATTTGTAGCGAAAGAAACATTCCTACCTCTGTGCGGCATCCGCGCATTCGCTAAGCGGTATCGTCACGGCTATAGCTAGAGTCAGCACGCCAGCATATATCAGCGAAGCACGCGCCATGCGACACGTCCCTACGGCGCAGGTGCGAAGGGGTCTAGAAGGGGTCTAGAGTTTCGAATATGCCTAGAACTAGAACGAGATTAGGAAGCGAGATCACGCGCGCTAGAGCAGACTACGGAGAGGGAACGAGCAAGCATGGCGGAAGGCAAGTACGAACTGATGGAATCGGGACGGGAATGCCCGCTCGTGCAAGTGTTCCCCACTCGCCTTCACAACTCTCACCCAGCCGTAACGAACTCAAACGAACTCAAACATTCTCCCTTTCTGCTTGCGTCATCCCCAGGCGGTGCGGCTCCGAGGTGGATTGCGTTTCGAGCAGCTAATTTTGGGCGACGGGCAGTCAAGGAGAGCGAGCCATGTCCATTCGCGCGGCACTTCACACACCCCCCGGAGTTGGTTTTCTTTCGCCAGACCGCGTGAGCCACGAAACGAGGATCTCGTGAACTCGTCCAATTTCAGGGTGGTTATTCGATACCGGATGACTCGAATGTAATACAAGAACATGCGATTGAAACCAGGCCATTACATACTAAATGAGCCGGAGTGTACTGCAGCAAGCACAAATTCATCCCCCTTCTTTTCCCTCCATCGTGAGCGTCAGAAGCACGCTTGCTCCTGGCCCTGACAGCCATTCCTGTCAGCAGGAGATGGGGAAAAGGCCATGAATCTGTAAACAGGCCCTTATCCCTGACTCAGCTTCTCGCCCTGGCTCCTATTTTCGAGATCTTTCTGACACAGTGTGCACGACGTGTTCAACGGCGAACCAACCTCGTCTCAGCCTTATCCCTGCAGCTATTGTCACTGCTAATCAATATGTTGTTTGCTCGCACTCCTAGTAGCCGCGACGCGTAGGAGGTCGCGTATGTTCCAGTAGTTCGAGCGCGACGCGGTGCCGCCATGGGAGTGCAGGGCTTGTGGGAGCTGCTGGCGCCTGTCGGCCGACGAGTGTCCGTAGAGGCTCTCGCCAACAAGACTGTAGCCGTCGGTAGGTTCCGCGCAAGCGTGTTATTGTTTGGTACGATTCGCGAGTACAATTGCGTTCACGGACGTTCAATCTCATTTCGCGATAATCTTCGTGTACACTAGACGATTCGCCTGGATCGTCACGGCTTTCTTCTGGATCCAGATTTCCGTTAGCCAACGGCTAGGTCAATTCCTCGTAACTCCCTCTTTCCCCATACGACGCGAGCGTTTGACTTTTCACGCTAGCGTCTGACCGGTTCAATCCCTCGTAACTCCGTCTCCCCTCCTCCGCCCGCGCAGACGCGAGCATCTGGCTAATGCAGTTCGTGAAGGCGATGCGCGACGAGCGCGGCGAGGCGGTGCAGGGCGCGCACCTGCTGGGCTTCCTGCGGCGCCTGTGCAAGCTGCTCTTCCTGCGCATCCGCCCGCTCGTCGTCTTCGACGGCGCCACGCCCGCGCTGAAGCGGCGCACCGTCATTGCGCGGCGGCGGCAGCGCGAGAACGCGCAGATCAACCTGAGGAAGACCGCGGAGAAGCTGCTGCTCAACCAGGTCAGCACGGTGACCGGGGGGGGGGGGGGGGGGGGGGGGGGCGGAAGGAGAAGTTGATGGCGGAGACTTGGCTGGTTGACCAGGTGGGACGGCGCTGGTGGTGCGAGGGGTAGCAAGTGCAATAAGGAGTTGAACTGATTCTTGCATTTACCGCTCCATTACCCATCTCCCCCCCTCTCCGCTCCATGCGCTCCCCTCGCCCCCGGTGTGGCGCTGTCAGCTGCGGCTGCGCAAGCTGGAGGAGGCGGCGAGGGACATGCAGCAGCGGGGCAGGGGGAGAGCGGCGCGCAGGGGGACGGAGGGGCGCAGGGACGGGGCAAGGGGAAGGAGAAGATGGACGACATGGCGGACGATAGGAAGCACGAGGGCGAGGAGGGGGGGAGAGGCGTTCAAGGAGACGGCGCAGCACAGGAGCGGAGGGACAGCGAGGAGGGGTCGCGGGGGGAGCAGGAACACCCTGATGCTCTGTACGTCTCACGCCTGCCTTCAAATCCTTGACTTCCTTTCTACTCTTCGTTATTTTCTTCCCCAGCCTGACGTGCTTGCTCGCTGCACCTCTCCTCGCCGTGCCATTCCTTTCAACATCTCGCCCGTTGTGCTCATTCTGTTGGTGCCAGCCTGGCAGCATCGCTGGCAGCTGAGTGGGCAGGGCAAAGCGTGAGCCCCTTAGGTGCGGGACCTGACGTGGCAGGCACCTCCCGTGATGTTGCTGCTGCTGCTGCTGCTGCTGCTGCTGCTGCTGCTGCTGCTGCTGCTGCTGGCGGTGGTGAGGCTGCCAGGGAGGCAGTGAGGGTGGAGGGAGGAGACGGTGGCAGTGATGGGGACAATCACGATCACGATGATGATCATGATGATGACTTGGGCGAAGAAGCCATGGCTCTCCTAGTACGTGCAGCGCATGTGCTACTTTCCATGCGTTCCTGTTCATCCAGGACTTGCTGTTCCTCCGCACACGTTTTTTGTTCGTGGATTAAAAGTCTGTTTTCCTTACCCATGCCCCACCTGTCCCGGTGCTGCCTCTGCCAGCCAGCGCTATCATCTGGGGGAGGCGCACCTCTGGACCCTGCAGTGCTGGCGTCGCTTCCGCCCTCCCTGCAGCTGCAGCTGATGGTGCAGGTGGGTGTGGGTGCTGCAGCTGATGGTGCAGATGCGTGCTGCAGCTGATCATGTCTCTTCTCCCTGCCTCCTCGTGCCTACCTCGTGCAGTGCTGGCCTCAGTTTCCACTCCCTGCTCTCCACGTGCTGCATGCCACGCTGTATCCCGACCTGTCCCTCGTCCCTCGTCCGTCCGCCCTACTGCACGTGTGCAGATGCGCGAGCAGCTGGTGGCTGAGAATCGCCACAAGTTCGAGCAGGCTGCCAAGGTGAGGGGCAGGGGGATAGCAGCGACGGGGGGCAAGAGAGGAAGAGAGAGTTGACTGGAGAGGCAGGAGTCGATTACACGGGGAAACACAAGGTAGGTAGCACGGGAGGTGATGAGAGGATGTGTGGAGAGGAGGCAGCAAGCCGAGAGTGTCTGCATTGCTGGGGGCTGATCGTTTGGGGTGGGCGTGAGACGCTGGATGTTATTGCGCCCTCTCCTAACCACTCCTCCCTCTTCCCGGATACTTCCCCCCCCCCCCCCCCCTCCCCCCCCAGGCGCCAGCAGCGTTCTCGTCGCTGCAGGTGGACGCCTATCTGCGCACCGCTGCCATGCGCCGCCAGATCGACTCCGCGCGCTCCGCTGCTGCCACCGCCTTCGTCGCTGCCTCGGCCACTGCTGCTGCTGGCACGTCTGCTGGCGCTGCTTCCAGCCTTCCCTCTCCTATCCCTGGATCCTCCTCCGCTGCTGCCGCCCTGCCTGCTCGTGCAGCTTCAGGAGGGGAAGAGCCACACATGGGGGTGCCGCGCCCAGCAGGAGGAGCGGCAGGGGTGGAGGGAGCAGGGGCGGGCAGGGGTGGTGGCGTGGGCGTGGGGGGAGGGCGGATAGCATCGGAGGCGGGCAGGGAGTTCGTGTTCACGTCGTCTGTGCCTCAGGACCGCAGGTGGGTGAGTGGGGGGATGTGAGCTTGGGACGAAAGAGGAGGATGTTCTGGGTTCGTTGGAGGCATAGTAGGGGCAGGCAGGCAACCACCGCCTTCCTGAGCGGATGAAAGGGAGTTTTTGTTCTTTCCTCCCTCTGTCCCCTGATACTTCTTTCTCAATCGTCCTTTTACCCCTCCCCCCCCCTCTTCCCGTCCACCGTCTTCTTCTGGTTCCCCCCTCGCCTCAGTGCTGCGCCATTGGGTGTGCGCCTGCCACCACTGTCAGCTGCACCCGCACAGAGCAGGCGGGGGAGGGGGCCGCGCGGGAGGGGCAGGGGGAAGGGCGCCTGGGAGCATGGGTGGGGGGGAGGACAAGCTTGGGGGGAGACCCGGCCGGATGGTGAGAGCGGGAAGATGAAGGCACGGGTGGAGGAGGAGGAGGAGGGGGGGGGAGTTAGTGAGAGGGATGGCCTGCGGGATTTCTCATGGGGGGGAGGGAGGGGGCAGGGGGGCGTGCAGGGGCTGCGGCTGCCCGCCATTCTGCAGCAGGCGGTGGACTGGGGGGGAGGGAGGGCGAGGGCGGGGGGGCAGGTGATGGGGGGCGCTGGAGAGGCAAAGGGCGCTGTGGCCGGTGCACGGGATGGGGGAGCTGGAGGGGATGCGGGGGGTGGGGATGGTGAGTTGGGGCTGGAGGGGCTCATGGGGAACAGTGTGAACGGGAGGAGAGGTGGGGTGCAGAGGGAGGAGGCGGACGAGGGGGAGGATGCAGGGAAGGAGGCGTATCTGGCGATGGTGGCAGATGAGGCAGTGCAGGCAGCCACTGACAGCGATGCTGCTGCCACAGTGGGTGCTGCTGATGCTCGGGCTGCCCATCCTCATGGCAGCAGTGGTTTGGATGGCGTTGTTAGTGGCGCTGCTGCAGCCGATGATGCTGAGTCAGCACAGGCCACACAACGGGAGGCAGCAGGAGGAGCAGCAGTGGGTGGGAGTGTCGCGACGTATCGCGATGAGCAGGGCAGGGTGCGGGTGAGCCGCGTGCGGGGCATGGGCGTGCGCATGACGCGCGACCTGCAGTGGAACCTGGTGCTCATGCACGAGCGGGAGACGGAGAGGGCCAAGGGGAACGGGCATCTGGTGGAGGAGGGGACGGGCGGGGAGGAGGAGAAAGGCAGGGGGGAGAAGGGCCGGGAGAGTAGGGGGGTGCATAGCGAAGGCAGGGAGGGGGAGGAAGAGGAGGAGGTGGAGTGGGAGGATGAGAGGACGGTTGGTGCTGCTGCTGCTACGAGGGGAGGTGGGGTAATGGCAGCTTCAAGTGCGGACAATGCAGCATATGGGGGGCGAAAAATGGACAAGGGGCAAGAGGAGGGGGAGAGGAGGAAGAGGGTGAGGGGCAGGAGGAGGAGGATGAGCTTTTTGCAATGCTGGTGGCTGCTGGGAAGATCCGAGCAGGAAGTGGAACGCGTGATTCAAGCACTGCCCACCACCCGCCAGGTTCTGTGGCGGCACTTGCCCCAGCCCCTGCACCTGCTGCCATGCCTGCTTGTGGGAGTGCCAAGGCTACGGATGGTGAGGAGGAGGAGGATGAGGAGGATGTGGAGTGGGAGGAAGGGGGAGTGGAGGAGGAGGGGCGGTCAGACAAAGGGGATGTGAAGGGAGGAGGTGCTACAGAGAAGGATGTGCAGGGAAAGGGTTCGGCAGGCCATGCTGACGTGGACATGGAAGCTGACGTGGAGTGGGAGAAAGCACCAGTGCAGCAGATGAAGCAAAGCGGAACACCGCCAACCCCCCAACCAGCCCCTGCCCATGCCTCTCCCCCTGCCATGGGCGCTGCTGCTGCAGCGGCATCTGCTCCCAGCCATGCTGGTGGCGACGCTGCGGGCTCTGCTGCTGCTGAACGCAGGGGTGGCGGTGCGTGGGAGGAGCAGCAGGTGGCCGAGGCCATCAGGCGGAGCTTACAGGACGTGGGGGGAAGGCGAGGCGAGGGGCAGAGAGAAGGAAGTGACGGGAGCAATGAGGCCGGGAGAGACGGGAGAGACTGGAGAGACGGGAGAGACGGGAGAGACGGGAGATGTGAGGAAGGGGAGACGAGACGGCAGGCAGGGGAGGGCGCGGTGGAGGGAGGAGAGAGGGGAGGGGAGGAGTTGGATGAAGAGAGAGCAGCGCTGGAGGAAGAAGCGAGGAAGCTGCGTGAGGAGATGGAGGAGGAGAAGCGAAGAGTGGAGGTGAGCCGCCACAGCCCCCCACTGCCCTGTGTCTTCCATGCGCCCCACTGCCCACTGCCCATTGCTCATCCTCCTCGCCTCGTGCTCTCCTGCCTGCTCCTCCTCGTCTGTGCGCTCACTCGCCCGTAGCTGCCTGCAGCACGCAGTGCACTGGTTGCTGCTCGTATTGATGCTTCCTTCTGAATTCTGATTTCGCTTTTGTGGGTTGCAGCAGAGGGAACAAGAGGAGGGTGTGGAGGAGCAGGAGGAGCAGGAGGAGCAGGGCATGCGAATGGACGAGGGCGAGTGGGGGGAGGACGAGGAGGAGACGAGGAGGCGGTGGGAGGAGGAGAGCGAACAGCTGGAGAGGGAGGGCAGGCGGCTGAGGCAGCAGAAGAGGGCGAATGAGAGGGATGCTGCTTCAGTCACCTCGGACATGATGGCAGAGGTGCAGGTGGGATGCCATGCTGGCAGAGGTGCAGGTGGGATGCCATGCTGGCAGCACCACGCAAGCATGATGCCCTTTCACCCTTGTTACATCCGCCTCCTCCTTTCCTTCTCTCTGTCATTCCTTTACCCTTCAACCTTTTCTGCCATCCCTCCATCCCTCCCTGTGTACCCCTCTCCGCCGTCCCCCAGGAGCTGCTGCAGCTGTTTGGCGTGCCGTACGTGGTGGCGCCTGTGGAGGCCGAGGCGCAGTGCGCCTTCCTCTGCCGCCAGGGCCTCGTGCACGCCGTCGTCACCGACGACTGCGACGCGCTGCTCTTCGGCGCGCCCACCATGTGGCGCCACCTGTTCAGCGAGCGGCAGTACGTGGAGGTGTACAAAGCGGAGGACGTGCGGCGGGAGCTGGGGCTGGGGAGGCGCCACCTCATCCGCATGGCCATGCTGCTGGGCTGCGACTACACGCCCGGCATCAGGTACGGCACCTCATCACCCCAGGCCCGATGTCAAGTGACTACATGGTGCTTTGGGGGCATGGGATTTCAGCAGTGGTTGGTTTGGGGGTGGGAAGCTTAGCGGTCTGCGGGGGGGTGTTTTCATGCAGCAACAGCTCAGTGGGGAGAGTGCTGTCATGCGGGGGGGCACCACTTTCTACGATGGTTCATCACTTCCAACCTAAGGCTACTCGTCCATCCCTAATCCAAGCGCCCCTTCCTAGGGCATATCACCTCTTCCTAAAGCGAGTTGTCGTTTCCTAGGGTGAATCGCCTCATATTGGGGCATTCGCCAAATCCATTCGCCAAAACCATTCGCCAAAATCATTCGCCAAAACCATTCGCCAAAATCTTTCGCCAAAACATTTCGCCAAAACCTTTGGCCAAAACCCTTCGCCAAAACCATTCGCCAAAATCTTTTGCCAAAACCATTCGCAAAAACCATTCGGCACAACCATTTGCCAAAATCATTCGCCAAAATCTTTCGCCAAATCCATTCGCCAACACCACTCCCAAAACCATTCGCCAAAACCATTTGCCAAATCCATTCGCCAAAACCATTCGCCAGAACCCTTCTCCAAAACCCTTCGCCAAAACCATTTGCCAAATCCATTCGCCAATTCCATTTGCCAAAACCATTTGCCAAAACCATTCGCCAAAACCGTTCGCCAAAACCTTTTGCCAAAACCCTTCGCCAAAACCCTTCACCAAAACCATTCGCCAAATCCATTCACCAATTCCATTTGCCAAAACCATTTGCGAAATGCATTCGCCAAAACCATTCGCCAAAACTATTTGCCAAAACCATTTGCCAAAACCATTCGCCAAAACCATTCGTCAAAACCATTCGCCAAAATCTTTCGCCAAAACCATTCGCCAAAACCATTCGTCACAAGCATTCGCCAAAACCATTCGCCAAAACTTTTCGCCAAAACCTTTCGCCAAATCCATTCGCCAAAATCATTTGCCAAACCTTTTGCCAAAAGCATTCGCCAAATCCATTCGCCAAAACCATTCGTCAAAACCTTTCACCAAAACCCTTCGCCAAAACCATTTGCCAAATCCATTCGCCAATTCCATTTGCCAAAACCATTCGCCAAAACCGTTCGCCAAAACCTTTCGCCAAAACCCTTCACCAAAACCATTCGCCAAATCCATTCACCAATTCCATTTGCCAAAACCATTCGCGAAATGCATTCGCGAAAACCATTCGCCAAAACCATTTGCCAAAACCATTTGCCAAAACCATTCGCCAAAACCATTTGCCAAAATCTTTCGCCAAAACCATTTGCCAAAATCTTTCGCCAAAACCATTCGCCAACACCATTCGTCACAACCATTCGCCAAAACCATTCTCCAAAACTCGCCAAAACCTTTCGCCAAATCCATTCGCCAAAACCATTCGCCAAAACCTTTTCGCCAAAGCTTTCGCCAAATCCATTCGCCAAAGCATTCGCCAAAACCATCCGACTAAACCATTCTGTCCCTCCCCGCTTGTGTGCTCCTGTGATTTCATGCTCTCACGTGCATGGCATGTGCATGGCATGTGCATGGCGTGTGCATGGCGTGTGCATGGCGCCACAGTGGCATCGGCGTGGTGAACGCCATCGAGGTGGTCCATGCCTTCCCCGGCGCCCGCGGCTTGGCGCGCTTCAGGCAGTGGCTCGACGCCCCCCACGCCGCTGCCCTTGCCCGCCTGCTTCCCGCCCGCACTGGGGGTGCGGCGGGGGGCGATGGAGGGGCAGGGGCGGATGGATGGGGAAAGGATGACGGGTGGTGGGAGGATGAGAGCTCGGACGAGGAGGAGGAGGAGGAGAGGGGAGAAAGGGCGGGCAGTGGGAAGAAGGATGAAGGCGTAGGAAGTCTAGGGAATTGGGGGAGAGAGGCAGAGAAGGGCAGGGAGAAAGGAGAGGAGAAGGGCAAGAGAGGATCAGAGGAGGGTCGGGCGTCAAAGAGGGAGTTGGCTGATGCACGCAGGAGAGAGTTCGAAGCAACGCATGTGAGTGTGCAAGCCAGATGTGCTTCGTTTGACGTGCACTTGTAGCTTCTCTTTACGTTTGACGTTGGCTTTGCTGCGTGCATTCGCGTTACATGTGGCGTGTAGCGGCACGTTCATGCATGTTGTGTGTTCCCTTGCATTCCCCTGCATCATCACGCCATGCCTCCCACCACACCTCATGTGATGCCACCCCACCACGCCCCTACAGGCCGCGGTGCGGCGCCAGTGGGTGGTGCCGGAGAGCTTCCCCAGTGCGGCGGTGGCGGCGGCCTTCAACGCCCCGCATGTGGACCGCAGCACCGCCTCCCTCTCCTGGGACGCACCGGACCTCCCGGCCCTGCGCAAGTAGGTGGCCCCCGCCCTCTCACTGTCAACCCTTCCCCACGGCACCCTTCCCTCTGCTACCACCCTTCCCCTAGTAGGTTGCCCCCACCCTCCCTGCGCATTTTGTCACTTCCATTCACAGCCTGCCTCTCCCTCGGCGCTCTCTCATGCCCCCCCTATCATTCCTTCGTGCTCGCTCCGCCCCTCCTCCGTTGCGTGCCACGTGGCAGCCTGTGTGTGGCGAAGCTGGGCATGGCGCCAGACAAGGCGGATGCGCTGCTGCTGCCAGTGGTGAAGGCATTCAACTCGCGCCAGGTGTGTGTGCACTGCACTGCACTGCATGCTGCACCGAGGATTGCCTGCTACCCATGCCGTACTGCATGCTGTGCCCGCTGTGTCAACTGTACCAAGGTCACGTGCTCCAGTCATCGCGCCCTCCCCATCTCGTCCCCCACATTCTCATCCGCTCACCCATGTGCTGCGCGCAGCCCTCATCGTCTGGCACCCCCAACCCCACCTTCCTCCCCTCCCAGACGCAGCAGCGGCTGGAAGCCTTCTACTCGTTCAACCAGCGCTTTGCCAAGATCAGGTCGCGCCGCGTGCAGCGCGCCGTCACCGGCATCGCTGGCAGCGCCGCCCGCCACCTCATGCTGCCGCCCTGCGGGGTCAGCGCGGCCGAAGATGATGCGCAGGACGCTGCCCCTGTTGCTCCCGCGCATGCCAACGCTGCTGCTGCTGCCGGTGGTGGTGGCGATGGTGGCGGGAGGCAGTGTGGCACGGCAGTTGGTGGTGGTGGGGCGAATGGCACGAGGCGTGGGAAGGGGAAGAGGGCAGCTGAGGGGCTGGCTGCTGCTGCTGTGGGTGGTGAGAAAAGGGGAAGAGGGGGGAAAGGGAGAGGGAGGGGGAGGGGAGGGGGAAGAAGGGGAGGGCGTGGGGGTAGGAGGAAGGTGGCTGAGGTGGAGAAGGCAGTCGGTGAGTCGGCATCGTCGGGTGAATGGCAGGAGGATCACAGTCATGGCGGGCATGGCGATGGCGTGGCACAGCGGCAGGATGCGGGGAATGTGGATGGTGGCGTGGGTGTGAGGGTGAGGGTGCAGCCCGGCCGTGAGGCCAAGCGACCCAAACTGCAGCTTGCAGCGTCCCCTGCTGGCTGTGCTGGTGGCGGGGTCGTGTTGAGTGACTCGGACACGAGCAGCAGTGGGAGTGATTCTGATGGCGATGATGCTGCCTTTGATCCCAGTGACCTGCTGGCCATTGCACTCCCTGCGTCCTCTGCTGCCCTGCACTCTCCGCCCACAGCGCGCATGCAGCAGCAACCAATGGCACACAGAGGGGCGCAGGGGACAGTGGGCAGAGGAGGGGGGATGTCAGGTGCGCGTGCAGATGGAGGGGAGGGGCAGGCAGCAGGAGTGGCAGGTGAAGGGGATGAGAGGGAGGCAGGCATGTGGGTGGTGCAGCGACACTCCAGCGGGGCGGAGGGGCAGCAGGATGGCATGCACAAGGGGCCCAAGCATGCTCCCGGGGTGCCCCAAGAAAGGGCAACGCCCCCGTGTCTCGCAACGCGCACCCCCATGTCTGCAGCAGCTCACATGTCCGGCACGAGTGCGGGTGACACGGCAGCCGTGGGTGGACGGCAGGAGGCAGCAGCATGTAGCTCTGCGCACGCGCTCATGTATGGCGGGGGGTTCTGTGAGGGGGAGGGAGGCGAGGCGGCAGAGGATCTGAGGGAAGGCGGCGAAGAGGAGGAGCGGCAGTCTGGGATGGAGCACTTGGGGGGCAGGACAGCACGCACGGGACTTGCAAATGATTGGGGTGTTTGCAGAGAGATGGGGGAAGAAGGCAAGACAAACGCATGCATGGGCAAGTCAAATGAGGAGGTAGCAGGAGGGAGAGAAAGGGTGGATGCGGAGGAAGAGGTCAGACGTATAGATGGTGGGATGACACCCACACCCCCTGTGCTTGGAGAGAAGCCTCACCCCACACATGCCGCATTGCCAGTTGACACAGGCGCCAACACTGTCGGCATTGGGCTTCTGTTGGCCGCCCCCTTGAGGCGCAAGAAGCCTCGCAAGCTGTGAGGAGAGCGGGCGTGGCGTGGTGAGGATGTGTTGAATGAATATGTTGGGTTTCTTTGTAAATAAATTGGGAACTTAAGTAGCATAATTACTGTATTTTGTCTGTATACGGGGCTTAGTTGGCTGTCCTCGTCATACGCTCGTGAGCTGTGGGGCCATCCTGCCTCCCGCGCCTAATGTCGCAGTCCACGCACTAGCACCTTCTCGCCCCACTCCTTAGGCGCCAACCAGCCAGCAGCAGCCACGTGTTGTCGCTCCACCGTGCCACGCGTCCACAGCAGGCGCCATGGCTCAGCCGCTCTCTCTTTGCCGTCCAGCGCCCTTTCTCGGGGCGCCCGCGTCGCTATCCCTGTCGCTATCGGCGCGCTGTGCGCTCGTCCCACGCGGTGCTGCCGTAGGCCGGCTCTCCGCTGTGAGCAGTGCTGCTTTTAGGGCGCCGGCAGCGAGAAACGCGCGACGATGGGGAGTCGTTTCTGGTGCGTCCGGCGGGCTTGGCACGCTCGTTAGATTCTCATGGGCTTGGTTGGTATCGTTCGTTAGCTCTGTCCGTGCCCGCATGCGTCTGCCGTCGCCCCATATCCGCACATTGCCTTGTCCAACCTACCATCCCCCAACTGCCCTCCCGTGCGCCAGCCTCCGCGGGCACGGAGGAGGCGGAGGTGGCGGCGGCGGTGGCGGTGCTGGCGGAGGCGGCGCGCAGCAAGCAGGTGAAGGGCGAGGCGGTGTTCGCGGCGCTGCGGCGGCTGGAGACGCGCAAGGTGGGCGCGGAGGAGAGCAAGGAGTGGCTGGCGGCGCTGGGAGGGGCGGCGTCGCCTGGACGCATGTGGCAGCTCGTGTTCACCGCTGGCAGCGGCGAGGTGAGTGGCGTGGGCGCATGGTGGCGCATGGTGGCGCATGGTGGCGCATGGTGGCGCATGGTGGCGCATGGTGGCGCATGGTGGCGCATGGTGGCGCATGGTGGCGCATGGTGGCGCATGGTGGCGCATGGTGGCGCATGGTGGCGCGTGGTGGCGCATGGTGGCGCATGGTGGCGCATGGTGGCGCTCCATGCCCTCCACATGCTGCTCGCATGCCTCCCACTCCACATGCCGTGTGCCCCATGCCCCATGCCCCATGCCCCATGCCCCATGCCCCATGCCCCATGCCCCATGCCCCATGACCCATGCCCCATGCCCCATGCCCCATGCCCCACCCCATGTCCCATGCCCCATGCCCCATGCCCCATGCCCCATGCCCCATGCCCCATGCCCCATGCCCCATGCCCCATGACCCATGCCCCATGCCCCATGCCCCATGCCCCACCCCATGTCCCATGCCCCATGTCCCATGACCCATGCCCCATGCCCCATGCCCCATGTCCCATGCGCCTCATGCCCCATCCTCCATGCCCCATGCGCTGTGCGCCATGCCCGACACTCAGGTGCGCAAGGCCATGAAGGGCGGCGAGGGGTCGGGCTCCTACTTCCCCATTGCTGCGGTGCAGCGCTTCGACGCGCAAGTGAGTCACAGGGGCGTGCTGCTGTCAGCGGCTGCCTGCACCTGGCACTCGTTCATGCTCCCACCTGTGGCTGCTGCGTGCTGCTGCATGCTGCTGCTGTGTGCCACCACGCCACCTCATCACTCTGCGTGCATGCCTTCATGCCTTCATGCCTTCATCTCCTTTGCCCTCTGCGCCTGCCATCGCTGCCACAGTGTCATTGCTCCCTCTCCTGCCTGCACCATCTCTTCCCCCCCCCCCCCCCCCAGGCGATGGAGATAGAGAACGGGGTGTTCCTGGGGCCGGTGGGGCACCTGACGTTCCGCGGCCCCATGGGCTTCACCAACCGCCGCCTCGCCTTCACCTTCCACACGCTCTCACTCAAACTCGGGCCCCTGCCGCCCATCCAGGTCAGCCTGCAGCCCATTGACGTGAGCCATGATGCCCGTCGCCCATGTCTGCGTGGGCGTCTGCGTGGGCGTCTGCGTGGGCATCTGCATGGGCGTCTGCATGGGCGTCTGCATGGGCGTCTGCATGGGCGTCTGCATGGGCGTCTGCGTGGGCGTCTGCATGGGCGTCTGCATGGGCGTCTGCATGGGCGTCTGCCTGGGCGTCTGCATGGGCGTCTGCCTGGGCGTCTGCCTGGGCGTCTGCCTGGGTGTCTGCATGGGCGTCTGCATGGGCGTCTGCGTGGGCGTCTGCGTGGGCGTCTGCCTGGGCGTCTGCCTGGGCGTCTGCATGGGCGTCTGCATGGGCGTCTGCGTGGGCGTCTGCGTGGGCGTCTGCATGGGCGTCTGCCTGGGCGTCTGCGTGGGCGTCTGCGTGGGCGTCTGCATGGGCCTGCCATGCTGTCAGCCTCGCCAGGGCCTGCCGCGCCACTGCCTGCGCCGACCGCGCCCTCACCTCGCTCTGTGCCTGCTGCCCTTGCATTCCCTAACCCCACCCCTTCCCCCCTTCCCCCCTCCCCCCCCCGCCATGTGGCAGTGGGCGATAGGCAAGGAGGAGGACAAGGGGCGCGTGCCGGGCGAGGGCAAGGCGGGCGCCAAGGACCCCTTCTTCACGTGGTTCTATGTGGACGACCATGTGGCCGCCGCCAGGGGGAGGGGAGGGGGCTCTGCCTTCTGGGTGCGCTACACCGGCCCGTACAAGCAATGATGCACCCGCCTTGCCACAATGATTATTGCTTGGAAGAAAGTGGTTATGTTATTTGCTCTTACGGCCCAGAGAAGAATCTGGTTTGTGTTCTTATACCACATTGTATTCTGTAAATCTATTGTTGATTTTGTCGCTAACCATGACTCTGATTGAGGCAGCACACAGCGAAGCAGCCCCATCACGAATGCCCAGCACCAAGCGCCAGCCGTAGTCGGCGGTGCAACTGTGATCTGCGTCTTCACCTTGCGCCGATGGGAGGTGGACGGTGCTAGGAGTGCAGGGAGGGCGCAGAGAGGGTCGGGGTGGTGCAGAGCAGAGGAGCACGGGCCCCGCACCTGCCATTGTACGCTGCTGCCCGCCGCGCCAGTGCTCCGGGCAAGGCCAGCAGCCCGCGCTGCCCCGTGCCGAGTCAGTCGCGCCGCCCCTCCCAGGAAGCGGCGTGCGTCGGGCGGGGCGCCATGCGCGCAGTTTTTCAGCGCGTGTCGTCTGCGCGCGTCGAGGTGCGCCCGCTCCCGCCACGCCCGCCTCACGTCCCCTCCCCCCCTCCGCTGCCTCGCTTCTCCCCTTCCAGCGCTCCGACCCCCCGCTTCCCCTTCCCCGCGTCCTTGTCTATCGCACCCTCTCTTCCCCCCACCTTTTCTTCGACCCCTCTCCGCCAACCCCCGCTCCCCTGATCCTTCCGCGCCACCCCTTCCCCCCTCCTTCCCCCCATGGCGGCGCGCGCAGGTGGAGGGGCGCGTGGTGGCGGAGATAGGCGCGGGGCTGTGCGTGCTGGTGGGGGTGATGGCGGGGGACGGCGCGCAGGACTGCGACTACTTGTGAGGGGAGGGGGGACCCATGCACCCATGTGCAGTGATGTCCTGAAATCAACATGTGCGGGGTGCATGGGTGCATGTGTGCATGGGTGCATGTGTGCATGGGTGCATGTGTGCATGGGTGCATGTGTGCATGGGTGCACGTGTGCATGGGTGCACGTGTGCATGGGTGCACGCGTGCATGGGTGCACGCGTGCATGGGTGCACGCGTGCATGGGTGCACGCGTGCATGGGTGCACGCGTGCATGGGTGCACGCGTGCATGGGTGCACGCGTGCATGGGTGCACGCGTGCATGGGTGCACGCGTGCATGGGTGCACGCGTGCATGGGTGCACGCGTGCATGGGTGCACGCGTGCATGGGTGCACGCGTGCATGGGTGCACGCGTGCATGGGTGCACGCGTGCATGGGTGCACGCGTGCATGGGTGCACGCGTGCATGGGTGCACGCGTGCATGGGTGCACGCGTGCATGGGTGCACGCGTGCATGGGTGCACGCGTGCATGGGTGCACGCGTGCATGGGTGCACGCGTGCATGGGTGCACGCGTGCATGGGTGCACGTGTGCATGGGTGCACGTGTGCATGGGTGCACGTGTGCATGGGTGCACGTGTGCATGTGTGCATGTGTGCATGTGTGCATGGGTGCATGGGTGCATGGGTGCATGGGTGCATGGGTGCATGGGTGCATGTGTGCATGGGTGCATGTGTGCATGGGTGCATGTGTGCATGGGTGCATGTGTGCATGGGTGCATGTGTGCATGGGTGCATGTGTGCATGGGTGCATGTGTGCATGGGTGCATGTGTGCATGGGTGCATGTGTGCATGGGTGCATGGGTGCATGGGTGCATGGGTGCATGTGTGCATGGGTGCATGTGTGCATGGGTGCATGTGTGCATGGGTGCATGTGTGCATGGGTGCATGTGTGCATGGGTGCATGTGTGCATGGGTGCATGTGTGCATGGGTGCATGTGTGCATGGGTGCATGTGTGCATGGGTGCATGGGTGCATGTGTGCATGTGTGCATGGGTGCATGTGTGCATGTGTGCATGGGTGCATGTGTGCATGTGTGCATGGGTGCATGTGTGCATGGGTGCATGGGTACATGTGTGCATGTGTGCATGGGTGCATGTGTGCATGTGTGCATGTGTGCATGGGTGCATGTGTGCATGGGTGCATGTGTGCATGGGTGCATGTGTGCATGTGTGCATGTGTGCATGTGTGCATGTGTGCATTGGCATGGCGATGGCGGCGCCTGCTCTACTCACTGCTTCCCTCGTTCCAATCATGCATGACCTCCACGCCATGACACATGGCATGGCATGGTACATCTGTTGATTGGCATGGCATGGCACGGCATGGCATGGCATGGCATGGCATGGCAGGTGTCGCAAGATCCTGAATCTGCGCATGTGGCCCAACGAGAAGACTGGCAGGGCGTGGGACCAGAGTGTGAGTGAGTGGATCGGTGGTGGGTGGGAGTGTGCATGTGGGGCTGCATGCACGTGTAGGAAGTGAACGTGGTGTGTGCATGGCGGGCGTTGCACGTGGTGCATGAAGCTTTACTCGCGGCTATGTTGTGACGGCATGAGCACCACTCTCAGGCATGCCATGTCGTTCACATGCATGCACCTCTCCTTCTGTCTGCCTGTGCCTGTGCCTGGGCCTAACTCTGTGTGGCTGCAGGTGTCGCAAAAAGGCTATGAGGTGCTGCTAGGTGCGATCCCTTCATCCCCCACCCGCACATGTGCCCTTCCACCATTCACCCTTCCACCATGCGCCCTTCCACCTTGCACCCTTCCACCATGCACCTTCCACCATGCACCCTTCCACCATGCACCTTCCACCATGCACCTTCCACCATGCACCTTCCACCATGCACCCTTCCACCATGCACCCTTCCACCATGCACCCTTCCACCATGCACCCTTCCACCATGCACCCTTCCACCATTCACCCTTCCACCATGCACCCTTCCACCATGCACCCTTCCACCATGCACCCTTCCACCATGCACCCTTCCACCATGCACCCTTCCACCACGCACCCTTCCACCATGCACCCTTCCACCATGCACCCTTCCACCATGCACCATGCACCTTCCACCATTCGCCCTTCCACCATGCACCCTTCCACCATGCACCCTTCCACCATGCACCCTTCCACCATGCACCCTTCCACCATGCACCCTTCCACCATGCACCCTTCCACCATGCACCCTTCCACCATGCACCCTTCCACCATGCACCCTTCCACCAGGCACCCTTCCACCATGCACCCTTCCACCATGCACCCTTCCACCATGCACCCTTCCACCATGCACCCTTCCACCATGCACCATGCACCTTCCACCATTCGCCCTTCCACCATGCACCCTTCCACCATGCACCCTTCCACCATGCACCCTTCCACCATGCACCCTTCCACCATGCACCCTTCCACCATTCACCCTTCCACCATGCACCCTTCCACCATGCACCCTTCCACCATGCACCCTTCCACCATGCACCCTTCCACCATGCACCCTTCCACCATGCACCCTTCCACCATGCACCCTTCCACCATGCACCCTTCCACCATGCACCATGCACCTTCCACCATTCGCCCTTCCACCATGCACCCTTCCACCTTGCACCCTTCCACCTTGCACCCTTCCACCATGCACCATGCACCTTCCACCATTCGCCCTTCCACCATGCACCCTTCCACCATGCACCCTTCCACCATGCACCCTTCCACCATGCACCATGCACCATGCACCATGCACCATGCACCCTTCCACCTTGCGTCGTCCACCTTCTCTGCGTCCCCCCCTCACCCCCTCACCCCCTCACCCCCTCACCCCCTCACCCCCTCACCCCCTCACCCCCTCACCCCAGCACCACGGCATGGCCACCACCTTTTGCCACCTGGCCGTGCATAATGGCCGGCCATCCTTTCATGCGCGCTCCCTGTGCTGTGTGCTCCACTGCGCCGCCTTGTGTCTGCTCATGCCCCTTGCTCGCTGCTTGCCTGCCGCCGCACCCTTGCTTTCTCGTGCATGCCTTCCTGTGCACCGCAGTGAGTCAGTTCACGCTGTACGGCCAGCCCAAGGGCAATAAGCTCGACTTCCACGTCGCCATGCCGCCCCAGGAGGCGCGCCCCTTCTATGAGGCGTTTGTGCAGCGAGTGCAGCACGCTTACCGCCCGGAGCGCGTCAAAGGTGCGCTGCTACATGCCTGGCAGGCTGTGAGGGGGGTGCGCTCCTGGTTTAGAGGCCATGTCCCTCCGGTTCACCCAGTACTCGCCCCCCACTATGTCTTCACATCTCCAAATGGCTGCATGCTCAATCTCCCTGCTTCTGACCGTCTGATCTCTCCCCCCCTATCCCGTCGTGCCCGTGCCTGCGTGCGTGCACGCCTCGCCTGTGCGGTGCAGACGGCATCTTCGGTGCCATGATGGAGGTGAGGGGGTGGGGAGAGTGAGGGGGGGAGTTAGGAGAGGTGAGCAGGAGGGTGCGAGGGGATAGGGGACGTGCCATGCTAAGTTGGCCCTGTTTAGCACCGCTTGCTCGTTCCATGGGAAAGCACGGCTTGATGCAATTCTGGGTTGAAAATGGCATATCTGGTACGCCTTATGCCTCACTATGGTTGCGTCGTGATGACCTCATCCCTCGTGTGGGTGGCACCCTCCTGGTCCGGCAGGTGCACATCGCCAACAGCGGCCCCGTCACGCTCTTCCTCGACTCGCGCAAGCCACCAGGCAACGGCGGAGAGGGGGGCGGTGGGGGCAGTGATTCGAGTTGAGGGGGCAGCAGTGGTCCGCAGAGCATGCTGATAGGGCACTTGCACGCATGCACGCTTCTTTAGATGGTATCGCATTGAAGTTTCTCCAAGCACCATGGCATGGAGGGAAGGGAAGGCACTGTTTCCACCCGCTGCACCGGGTCCCGCAGGTGACTTTTGAGTCGACTCAAAAGCCGCTGCACTGGGTCCCGCTGCACAGAGCCAAGTGTGCTGCACTGCCGCTAGCACTGGCTGCCTCTTTGCTGCTTCGGGGACATGACAGGATGCATGTAAAGCTAATGGCAATGGCATTCGAAACGTGCTTTGGGTATAAAATTTGCAGGTCATTAGTATTTTGCAATGCAACAGATTGCAATCACTTGGGCAACATCCCGGCACGAACAGGAAAGCATAATGCATTGATAACACTAGGAGCCAGACACCGTGGCAACATGCCTTGTTGCCTTTCCCTCTACTGTCTTGCACAGCACAGCGGCATTCACCCGTCATTCCCCGTGAATGGCAGCATGCGATGACACAGATTGACCCTCCTCACGCCCCTCTACCATCTTCCCCGCCCGCTACCCTCTAGACATGAGCCGTCTGAGCGTGCCCAACCCCAGCCCCCTCTTGCTGCCCCCGCTCCCCGACTCGCCCTGCTGCTGCTCATTCCCCCACCCCTCTGCCCTCGATCCCCACCCCTCGCTCCTCTCCTCTGCCCGCTCCTCCCTGCCCCCCTGCTGCCCGTGCACCCACAAGCTCCCTCCTCCGCCGCCAATGCTGCTGCCAGCACCGCCACTGCCACTGCCGGTAACAAAGGGCGCCACTCTGGTGCTTCGCCTCGAGTCACTGAGCGAGCGAGGAATGCCCCTCGGCGCACCCATGCCCGTGCCCGTGCCCGTGCCCGTGCCCGTACCCTTCCCTGCCGTGCCCATACCCACCTTGGCCCTGCCCCTGCTGCCACTGCCACTGCGCCACAGCATGCCCATCAACCCCCTCCGCTGCTGCTGCTGCTGCTGCTGCTGCTGCTGCCTTCCCCCGTCCGCTTCCCAACCCCCCCCCACACGCCCTCCCCCCTGCCCTCCCCCATACCCTCCCCCCTGCCCTCCCCCAGCACCCTCACTGCCCCATCCGCCACCGCCCACTCTCCCTCCTCCCCCCTGCACAGTGCTACTGCTGCCGCTGCTCTCCACCTCGCTGCAATCCTTTCCACCGCACTGCACTGCACCGCCAGCAGCCAGGGACCAGAAGGAGCCGGGCGCCCTGTCGTCATATGGCGTGCACAGCTGGGGGGGCGGAGGTGAGGGGCGGTGGAGCTCAGAGCAGCGGTGGGCGGGGGCAGGGCACCCGCTGGCAGCGTCTGACGCCTGCTGCTCGCTGCCCGCTCTGTGCTGCTGCTGGTGGAAGTGCGGCGCCTGCTCCCTGCCGCTCTCCCTCTGCTGCATCCGCTCCCCGTGCTGCCTGCGGTGCTCCCCTGCACCACTGGGCCCGTACCTGGGCTGGTCGCTGGGCTGGTAGCTGGGCGCGTGAAGGGGCTGGAAGGCGGACGGGGCGGGCTGCCCCATGGCGTGGGTGTGGGCGCGGGGCACGAGGAGGGGGTGGGGGGAGAGGCAGGGGGAGGGGGGGGCCGTGGAGGAGGGGGAGTCGGCAATGCAGGGGAAGGAGAAGGGGGAGGCGTCGGAAGGGGAGGTGTTGGGGGGGGAGCGTGCAGGGCTCAGGCGGGGGCTGGCAGGGGTGGAGTGCGGTTGATGTGGTGCGGGGGATGCCGATGAGGGCCACTCGTGGCTGGTGCAGCACACAACGCTGTCAACACTGCGCCGCATCCACTCGCCCCCCGCTGATGCCCGCTCCGCCCTGAAGGGCTGCTCCGCCGCGAATGGCAATACCACTGCCACCCCCTCGCTCAACGACTCCCTCACTTGCATCTGCTCCTCCTGCTGCCGCCCGCTCTGCCCCTCGCCTTGCTGCCTCTCTCGCACCTTCCCCTCCCTCTCCACATGTTGCCCGCTCCCCCTCTCACCCACCACTGCCACCTCCTCGCCACTCTCCCTGCCACCCTCCTCGCCCACCCTGGTTGACCCCTCTGCACCCTTCTCACCGCACCCCCTCTCAATCACCCGGGCCACCTCCCACACCACCTCGCCCACCCGCACCCCGCCCACCACCTCGCCGCCCTGCTCGCCTGCTGCCACCCCCCGCCTCTCACGCTTCGCCTCGCCGCCCTCCTCACATCTCCCCAAGCGCGCCTTCCCCTCGCTTCCCTGCAAATGCACCCCAGCAGGGGAGCCAGCACACGCAGAGGCAGCACCGGTGCCATCACCACGGCCCTCCTCCCCTCCCCCACCGCTTCGCCTCACTTCTCCCTCTCTCCTCTTCCCTCCACCACCCCCCGGCACTCCATCCCGTCTCACTCGCCCACCCGCATTCCTCAACTCCTCCCCTTCACTCCCCACCCTCCTCACCTTCCCTCTCCTCCTCTCTTCTCCATCCTCTTTCCTTCCCTCCTCCCCTCCCTCCGCCTCCCCCCTCTCCCCCTCCCATCCATTCCGCCTCAGGATCGCCCCCCCAGCACTGATGCTGCTCCGCACCTCCCCCTTGCGCGCGCCCACCCGCCTCCCCGCGCCCTGCATGCCCCCCTGCGCGCAGTCCTTGCCCATGCCGCCCCCAGCCTTCCTGCCGTGCGCTGCTGGCGCTGCCACCCGCCTTGCCGGCAGCTGAGGGACCGCCGGGGCTGCTGCTGCTGCGGCTGCGGCTGCCACTGCTGGCGCTGCTGCTGCGAGCGGAGGTGGCGAGGAGGGCGTTGAGACGGAGGAAGGCGGCGGTGGAAGGGGCTGACTGCACGTGCTGCTCGCCGCCTCGCTATCCTCCGCCCTCCCTTTCACCCCCAGCCCGCCCCTCCCCGCCTTTGCCTGCTGTTGCTGCTTCTCCCCCTCCCCCTGCCCCCCTTCGTCCCCCTCTAGCTTCATCCATCCGCCTCCACCCCCCTCTCCTCCTGCTGCTCCCTCTTCGCCTGCCCCCCCTGCATCCTCTCTCCGCCATGCTGCAGACTCCAGCCCCCTCTCCTCCCCCCTCTCCTCCCCCCTCTCCTCCCCCCTCTCATCCGCCATCCGCCTCACTGCCACCAGTTGCCCCTCGCCCCCTCTGCTTCCCCCCTCCTCCCCCTCGCTCCCCTCGCCTGCCCCAGTGGCCACCACCAGCGCCAGAGCGCGAGTCAGCGCTTCCATCTCCCGCTCCCCCTCCCCGCCTTCCCTCGTCCCCGCGCCAATTCCCCCAATCCCTTCCCCTTCCCCGGCCCACTGCAGGCCACCGTTCAAAGCGCGCACACTGCCGCTGCCACCGCCCCCCCCGCCCTCCTCCCCCACCTCGCGGATCTGCGCCAGCTGCTCGCCCCCTATCGCCGCGCGCAGCTGGTACGCCGCCCGCCGCCACGCCCCCCTCTCCGCCAGCTGGCGCCGCCTCGTGCGCTCCCTGCTGGCGCGCAGCATGTCCAGCTCAGCGCGCAGCGACGCTGACATGGCGTGGCCCGCGTGGTCGCGCTGCTGCACCTGGCGCCGCAGGCTCCGCGCCTCCGCCTCCGCCACCGCCGCGCGCTCCCGCCACGCCTCCTGCTCCTCGCGCACCCGCTCCACCTCCCCCTCCATCCGCGCCGCCAAGGCCTGGGGGGGAGAGGGGGAGAGGGGGAGAGGGGGAGAGGGTGAAAACGGGGGAGAGGAGGAGAAGAGAGGGGAGAGATGGGGAGGGATGCACAAAGACGTTGAGAGAGAGCACTAGGCATGTGACGCACGATGCGCGGGGCAGTGGGGAGGAGTGGGAGAGCACAGAGCGGTGGCGGGGTACGGGGCTCGGGATGGAGGGAGAGGGGCACCAGGGGTTGGATCAAACGCACTCCATTGCGCTGCGCTAGGATTGCCGCGCGTGGCACAACGGCTCCGTGCGCCATGAGCCCCTCTCCTGCCCGCAACACCCCACGGCCCACGCATGGTGCCCCATGCCATGCCATGTCATGCCATGCCAGCCCACCTGCAGCACCGCCACAGTGCCGTCGTCCGCGCTGCCGCCATCACAGGGCGCCCTGCCGCCCCTGCTGCCACGGCCCCCTTCGCCCCGCTCCCGCTTCCTCTGCGCACCGCCCGTCCCCCCCTCGTCGTCCTCTCCCCCTCCCGCGTCGCTATGGCCTTCCATGCGCGCTGACACGTCCTTGGTCGTTGCCACGTCAGCAGCGATGCGAGCCATGGTGCGCTCAAGTTGCGCCATCTGCAGACGTGGAGCGAGCGAGAGGGGGTGGGCGAGAAGGGAGGACGGGTTGAGGCGCGGCAAGCAGACGGAGAGCTATACGCATGGGCGCGCGCGCATGATGAGTGCAATGGAGAATACGACACAAATCACTCAGTACCCATACACCCCCTCACCTCGCCCGCGTCTCACCTCGCCCGCATCGCGCAGTATCTTGCGCTTGAGCAGCCATGAAGCATCGCTGCTGCCGCCACTGCCGCCAGAGCTGCTGCCGCCATGCGAGGCGGTGGTGCTGCTTCCGCCCCACGACAGCCCGGCGGACGACGGGCAGCTCGACTCCGCCTCCGACTCCGCGCCCTCGCTGCCCGCGCCGCTGCTTCCGCCTCCCACCGCCGTGCCCTGCGCGTCCATGCGGCGCACCAGCCCCTCCAGGCGCTCCCTCAGCCGCCTCGCCTCCGCCAGCGCGCGCCTGCTGCACCCCATGCCCGCCGCACTCGCGCCCGCCGCACGCGCGCCCGCCCCTCCCATGCCAGCGCCGCTGGCGCCATGGCCTCCCGTGCTGCTCCCATCGGCGCCAGCAGCCAGGGCCAGGGCGGCAGGGGCGCCGGCAGCGGGAGTGGGAGCAGGCAGGGCTGCCAGCGAGCCGTGGTGGGGCGCCGTGAGCGCTGCAGGGAGAGCGGCAGACGCGGTGACTCGGGCGGGCGAGTCAACGCAGTCGATGGAGTCAACGGTGGCCTTGAGCGCCGCCGCCATGCGCGCCGCTCGCCTCATCTCCAGCTGGCTCTCGCGCCACTTCCTCTCCACCACCGCGCGCTGCTCCTCCAACTCCCGCCGCGCTGCCGCTATCCGCGCGCTCCCCGCCTTCCTCCCCGCGCCTCTTCCTCCCTCTTTGCTTGGCTCCTTGCCCTCGCCTCCCCCTGCCTTCCCCCAACCCTCCGAACCGGAATCGGTGGCTGCCAGCGACACACCAACCGATGCGCCCTCACGGCTCCCCAGTTCCGCGCTTCCGCCGTCTAAAAAGCTTTCCTCCTCCTCCTCCTCGTCGTTCTCCTCCTCATCGTCGTCGTCCAGCGACAGTCGCAGGTTGAGCGCCACGTCATCAGCGAGGGGGTTGAAGAACGCGCTCGACCCGCCGAACAGTCCGCGGCTGGTAGGGTCGGGCGGCTGCCAGCTGCCGTCGTCCGATTCCGCCTCGTTGTCTCGCGCTGACCCCCACATGCCAGCGGTAACCACCCGGTCAAAGCTCTCCTCCGCCGTATTCCCCGCTGCTTCATCAGAGTTTCCTGCCCCGCTCGTTGCTTCCCCCCTGTCCTCCTCTTCCGCCTTCCCTCCTCGGCACCCAGCTTTCTCCGCCTTTCCGCGCGCCTCAACCAAGCCTGTTCCGCTCGCCACGTTGAACCGCGCTGCCGCGTCGGACCGTTCATCGTCCGCTTCCCCCGCGTCATGCGCCGTGCGTGGAGGCGAGGGCGCCCTGTGGTCCGCGTTTGCCTGCGCGGGAGAGCCCTGCGACGCCCATCGCGAGGCGGCCACGTGCATCATCAGCCGCTCGTTCGCGCGCAGCACGTCCTCGCTCGCCGCGCCGTCTCCCCCCTCGCTCACCGTGCTTCCGGCCACCTCGCTCTCCGTGCCCTCGTCGTCGCGCGCGGACGCGCTCTGCTCCGCCGCATCGTCGCGCGATGCAGTGGCGGGTGCCGGCTGATGGGCGGCCGCGAGGCCCTCGGGCAGCCACGAGCGCACGTCCCAGTGGCTCGGCGCGCCGTACGCGGCGTGCAGCTCTAGGGAATCCGGGCGGACGCCGGGAGACGGTGAGGGGGACTGCGCGGAAGAGGGGGAAGCGAGCGTGGCGAGGCGGAAGAGAGGGCGGAGGGAGGCGGAGGAAGCGAGCGGAGAGGGGGCAGTGGCGGAACTGACAGGGCCAGAGGAGGGAGTGGAAGGCGCAAGGTGCGCAACAGCGGCAGCGGCGGGCGAGGCATCAAAGCTAGATCGTTTTTTTCGGAGGTGGCGTATTCGCGAGAGGCTATCAGTGAGCGCCTTCATCTCCATCTCGTGCCGCGCCCGCCTCTCCGACTCCATCGCGACGATCGCTCGAGCACGAGCGGCTTCTAGTGTGAGTATCAGTGGTCGCTATCTTCCTGCACTACAATCTGAATGCATCGAGGGGTTTAGTGAAAATGGTGGTTGCTGTCATTGTCACACTGACACGTATTAGCTGCACCTCACGTCAACATCGCAATATCAGCTTCAAGAAAGGATCAGTCTGTTTCTGGCCCCTCGTCTCTTGGTTCGCTTTCCCCTCTTTCCGCACCGCCATGGGTTGTCCCAAGTCTTCACAGCGCTGTCTGCTTTTGACGGGCACCTAAACGGCAGCTCTGCGTTGGTTTGGACAATTAACACTTCTGCTCTCGCGCCTCTCACCTGAGAGGGTGGCGCATTGCGCCCCTCTAGTCCCCGCGACCTGCTCTTCGCATTGAAATCGCGCCTCGGCATATGCGGGAGCACGAATCCTGGGGCTCGCGCGCATCGCGGGGAGCAAATTTTTTGCTCTGCCATGCACGAATCGTGTTTTGCGGGTGGGCAGACGTGAAACATTGCCTTCTGCTAAAAAATGGGCTTCGGACGAGGTCAATTCCGCGAGGGGGGAATTTCCTCCCGCCCGCGTTGTGCTACCAGCTTTGTGAGTGATTCGATATCAACTAAAAGAGGTGAAAGGTAACACCTCTGCCTACCAAGGATGCAATAGTGAGCTTTTCGTAGCATATGGTTTACACAAACAAAAGTTGATAGTATCTTTGATTGTGTGGAGATGCTGGAACTTTGCGTAACGCGGAACACACTTCGCTGTTTTCGCCAATCGTTAGTCCTGAGTTCGCGAGCAAGCCCGTTGCAGGAGAATCTGGTTCCTCCCGCCTTGCACAGCAATTCATGCCAGTCCACCCCGTGATCGGTTTCATACCTGCCTGACCTTGGTTATTGTGGATGAGGTCTCTAGCACCTTGTTAGGACACTAGTGTCGTCATAGGTTCCTCTCGCTGCCTCGCAAGCTCCCAGTTTGATCCGTCGCGGATTTGGGGGACCCGACTGGAGACATAGCATTGGCTCGATTGTTGCGATTCTGGAATTCTTTAGGGCCTCCCTGTTTGCGATACTGTCTCTAACAGCTTCTTACGACTACAATTCAAAACTGTCAAGATGATGCTCGGAGGGACCAGACTGAGGTTAGTTCCGATCAATCGGATGCCTTTTTGCAGAAATTGCATTTTTTTTCACGCATTTCGGCTGTGTCGCTATTCTAAACGTCCGCTGGTGCGCGTTTCAGGGACATGATCCGGAATGTCCGCGCGTGTAAGACAGCGGCGGAGGAGCGGGGGGTGATCGCCAAGGAGTGCGCGAATCTGCGGACGGCGTTCAAGGAGAACGACATCGAGTACCGGCACCGCAACGTGGCGAAGCTGATGTTCATCCACATGCTGGGCTACCCCACGCACTTCGGCCAGATGGAGTGCCTCAAGCTCATCGCCTCGCCCGGCTTCCCCGAGAAGCGCATCGGGTACCTGGGGCTCATGGTGCTGCTGGACGAGCGCCAGGAGGTGCTCATGCTCGTCACCAACTCGCTCAAAAAGTGAGCTCGTGGCCCGCCGCGCCTCCTCACACGCAGTTCTTCAGATGTGCACATGGAATTCGTGTTCATCTGCCGTGCTCCCTGGCTCACATTGACCATGAGAGCTCGCTGTCTCTCCCTCTATAACCCTCTCGCATCCCTCCCACCCCCTGCTCCTCCCCCCCCGTGCTCCCATGGCCCGTCGTGCCCCCCCCCCCCCCCTTCTCCAGCGACCTGAACCACACGAACCAGTTCATCTGCGGGCTGGCGCTGTGCGCGCTGGGCAACATCTGCTCCAGCGAGATGGCGCGCGACCTGGCGCCCGAGGTGGAGCGCCTGCTCAACAGCAACAACTCGTACATCCGCAAGAAGGTGATCCTGCCTGCTCAACAGCAACAGCTCGTACATCCGCAAGAAGGTGATCCTGCCTGCTCAACAGCAACAGCTCGTACATCCGCAAGAAGGTGTTCCTGCCTGCTCAACAGCAACAGCTCGTACATCCGCAAGAAGGTTTTCATGGCTGCCGTGTTCTCATGCCCGGGACTGGCATCGGGGATGAAAGGTTGCAGCCGAGGTTGCCTGGGACCCGTGGAGCTCCACCAGGCATGTGATCACCCGTGGAGCTCCACCAGGCATCTGATCACCCGTGGAGCTCCACCAGGCATGTGATCACCCGTGGAGCTCCACCAGGCATCTGATCACCCGTGGAGCTCCACCAGGCATCTGATCACCCGTGGAGCTCCACCAGGCATCTGATCACCCGTGGAGCTCCACCAGGCATCTGATCACCCGTGGAGCTCCACCAGGCATCTGATCACCCGTGGGGCTCCACCAGGCATCTGATCACCCGTGGAGCTCCACCAGGCATCTGATCACCCGTGGAGCTCCACCAGGCATCTGATCACCCGTGGAGCTCCACCAGGCATCTGATCACCCGTGGAGCTCCACCAGGCATCTGATCACCCGTGGAGCTCCACCAGGCATCTGATCACCCGTGGCCACCACTTGCTTGCTGCTCGTCTGGTCATGTGATACCCCCACATGTCTTCCCCCCCCCCCCCTCGTGTGCCAGGCGGCGCTGTGCTCGGTGCGCATCATCCGCAAGGTGCCGGACCTGGCGGAGTACCTGCTGGGGCCGGCGTCGGGGCTGCTGCAGGACAAGCACCACGGCGTGCTGCTCTCCGGCACCAAGCTCGCCATCCAGCTCTGCGAGACACACCCCCCCGCCCTCGACTACTTCCGCAAGGTCAGCCATCTGACCGCCCTACGCTACGTCGCCTCCTCCTGCTGCTCACTGCGCTTTGAGGCGCGGGCATGAAAAGGGAGCACAAACAGTGGGGCTTTGTCGACCTGTTGTCAACGTAGCTGATAGCGGTGGCTTTGCTGCACGCCTGACCTTCCCCCTCACCACCCGTCCTGTGCGGCCGTGGCAGCAAGTGCCGACGCTGGTGCGCATTCTGAAGAACCTGGTGGTCAGCGGGTACGCGCCCGAATACGACGTGGGCGGCATCACCGACCCCTTTCTGCAGATCCGCGTGCTGCGCCTGCTGCGCCTGCTGGGCAAGGGCGACCCCGACGCCAGCGACATCATGAGCGACATCCTGGCGCAGGTGACGCTCATTGCATGCATGGCAGACAGTCTCGCACACGGAACTCCTCACACAGGAAACACTCTCGCTCGCTCCTCACCCTGTCGAGACTCAACATTCTTCTCGTGATTGAGCCGCCCAATGCCCCCATTTGCCCCTGGCGTGCCGTCCCCCCGTGCAGGTGGCGACCAACACGGAGGCGAACAAGAACACGGGCAACGCCATTCTGTACGAGTGCGTGCACACCATCTTCGGCGTGGAGGCCATCGGCGGGCTGCGCGTGCTCGCCATCAACATCCTCGGCCGCTTCCTCGCCAACCGCGACAACAACATCCGGTGCCCCACCGCCCCGCCCTGCCCCGCCCCGCCCCGCCCCTGTCGCATGCACCCTCGCACACCGCCATGGCCACCAGCGCATTTAGCAGTTTTCACAATTCCTGATGCTCGTCTTGGACGTCTTACATGGGCAATCCTGACACACTGGGTTGAATGCGGTGTGTCTGTGTGGGGGGGATGTGTGTGGCAGGTACGTGGCTTTGCACACGCTGATCAAGGTGGTGGCCATCGACACGCAGGCAGTGCAGCGGCACCGCAACACCATCGTTGAATGCGTCAAGGCAAGTGTTAACCCTCCTGCCTCCCTCGCACCGCCGCCCCTCAGTCTCCCTCAATTTGATACCCCCACTCTCAACTCTTCTGTCACACTGTGACGGTCACAGCCTGACACGGTCCAGTGCCCCCCCCCCCCCCCCCCCCCTGATGTGTGGTCGCAGGACTCGGACATCTCGATCCGGCGGCGCGCATTGGAGCTGGTGTGTGCGCTGGTGAACGACGGCAACCTCAAGGCGCTCACGCGCGAGCTGCTGGACTACCTGCGGGCCGCTGACAGCGACTTCAAGGCCGACCTCACAGCCAAGATCTGCGCCCTCGTGCAACGGTGCCCCCACGCCCACCCTCCTCCTGCCCCTACCCTTCTCTTTTTGTCTTGTTTTATGTGATGTGTAGAACCTGCCACGGGCCGTGACATGCTATATAGACGCCCCATTAGCTTATACTGTGGTTTTCTTGTGTTGCTGTGCACGTCTCTCGTGCCCCTGTGCATGCAGGCACGCCCCCAGCAAGCTGTACCACGTGGAGATCATGCTACGGGTCATGGTGGAGGTATGGCGTGAGGCATGGTGGAGGTATGGCGTGAGGCATGGTGGAGGTATGGCGTGAGGCATGGTAGAGGTATGGCGTGAGGCATGGTAGAGGTATGGCGTGAGGCATGGTGGAGGTATGGCGTGAGGCATGGTGGAGGTATGGCGTGAGGCATGGTGGAGGTATGGCGTGAGGCATGGTGGAGGTATGGCATGAGGCATGGTGCGTGAGACTGATGGCATGGTTTGAAAACGTAGAAGCGTCCACAGTGGTGGTTTGACTCACTGGCATCCGTCCTTGGCTGTGCGTGACACAAGGATGGCCATCAATGCACGCACCTCCCTCCCCCCCCGCTCTGCCCGTGCAGGCAGGGGAGTACGTCACGGATGACGTCATCCGCTTCCTCGTCGTGCTCATCAGCAACGCGCCTGAGCTGCAGGGCTTTGCCGTGCGCTCCTTCTTCCAGGCGCTGCGCTCCTGGCGCGGCCAGGTCAGCAACTCCCTCCCTCTGCTCGCACCTGCTCTCTCACGTGTGGGGTTTGTACTCATGCACACTCGTCAGCCCCCTTACATGCTTTTCCATGCAGCTTCCGCCCCTACTCCTGGGCCTTAATCTCCACCCTGCCACCACCCCCGTGAGTATGTGCAGGAGAGTCTGGGCGTGGTGACGGTGTGGTGCCTGGGCGAGTACGGCGAGATGCTCGTCAACAACACCGGGCTGCTGCAGGGCGAAACGCCCCTCCAAGTGCGCCCCTTCTCCCTCCTTGACACTCGCCCAACCGCCACTCTTTGCGCTAGCGCTTCCCCCGATGACTGGACAAATGATGACTGCTCTGCCGCTGCACTCGCCCCTTCACCGCCCCTCCATGCATGCCATGCACTGCCTGCCCACACACAGGTGGCGGAGGGCGAGGTGGTGCAGGTGCTGGAGAGCACCATGAAGGACGCGCGCGCCACGCCCACCCTCAAGGCCTATGTGCTCGTCGCCCTGCTCAAGCTCTCCTGCCGCTTTGCCTCCTGCTCCGAGTGCGCCCCTCCCCACCCGCATCTCACCGTCTCTCCTCCAGCCCTTCCCCTCACATGCCCTTCTCTTCACAACAGTGCTCGCTGCCATGTGCTCGTTTTCTGTTATCTTCTGCTCGCTGCCATGCTCTTGTCAGATGCAACTCTATCTACCTTTTCCCACTCTCCTTCGTGACTGTCTCCATTCAACCCGTGGTCTCTGCATGTGCCCCGTACTTCTCCCCCCCCCCCCGCCTGTGTGTGTGGGGCAGGCGCATCAAGTGGCTGGAGGAGCAGCACCGCCACAGCCTCGTGTTGGAGCTGCAGCAGCGGTCGGTGGAGTTCAGCGCTGTGCTCGCCCGCCACGACAAGATCAAGTCAGACACGCCCGACACACCCTACCCCCTGTCGCTGCCCCCATGTCCCCACTCGCCCTTTCTGCATGCCCTGTTGCATTGCTGATCTGCCCTGCTGCATCCCACCCCATCCTGAAGCATCGCCATGTTTCAAGCTCTCCTTGGCCCAGTTTCTTCCCTATGGCTCATCAAGAGCGCAGGTACACCTCACAGTACTGAATGCACCTTGCCTCTCACGTCCGTTTCCTCCCTTCCCCAGGGCGACCCTAGCAGACAAGATGCCAGCGCTGGACGAGGTGGCGTACCGCTCCCGGCGGGCGGACCTGGCGCCCGACGCAGCTGCCAGAGCAGCGGCGCCCACGGGGCAGCCGTCGGCCAACGGCGCCCTGGGCACAGCAGGGGCGCCCGGGGCGGTGCGTGCAGCAGCGGTGGCCCCAGCGCAGGCGCAGGTGCTGGCGGACCTGCTGGACCTCACGGCTGATGACTCCGCCGCCGCTCCCACCACTGCTGCCGCTGTGCCCGCTGCCGCTGCTGGTGGGCTGCTGGACCTGCTTGGAGGGGTCAGTGCGCCTGCTGCTGCTGCTCCTGCTGGTGAGGCCCGTTTTGCTCCGCACTCTGCCATCCTCCCCCCCCCCACCCCTTGTATCTGCTGCTCTTGAATCCCTTCACTAAAGCAATTCTTTACTACGCGCTCTATTTCTCTGGCCACCCCAAACCACCCCCCCCACTGCCAGCGCCTGCGCCAGGGGGAGCGGACCTGCTGCTGGACCTGCTCTCCCTGGGCGATGCACCCGCACCCCCCGCTGCTGCTGCAGCGCCCGCACCCATGGCTGCTGCTTCAGTGGACCCTCTAGCGGGCCTCATGGGGGCGGCAGGGCCCACCCTCATCACCCCCACGCCAGCACCCGCACCATTCGCCCCGGCTGCAGCGGCTGTGGATCCATTCGGCAGCTTTGCTGCAGCGCCTGCAGCAGCGGCGGCGCCGTCGTTCCCATCGATAGTGGCGCTGGAGAGCCGCGGGCTGCGCATCGCATTTGACTTCAGCAAGGACCCTGGCGCGCCGCAGACCACCACCATTGCCGCCACGTACACCAACTCCTCGCCCACTCCCCTCACTGACTTCGTCTTCCAGGCCGCTGTGCCCAAGGTGAGCTCCGTGCCCCTGGCAGGCAGGCAGCGAGCAGCACACACCCCCCCCGCGTCCCCCCTGTCAGCCCACTGACTCGTGAGCTGCCCGCTTCCCTGCCCCCTCCTCCCCCCCTCATCCCCCCCCACGTCCCCCTGCAGTTCATGCAGCTGCAGCTGGAGGCGGCGTCGGGGGCCGTGGTGCCGGCGGGCAACAGTGGCAGCGTGACACAGACAATGAGGATCACCAACACACTGCACGGGCAGGTCAGTGCACACATGCATGGGCAGGTCAGTGCACGCATGCATGGGCAGGCCAGTGCACACATGGGCAGGCCAGCTATCTGCACGATCAGGAGAGCTACATGTTAGGGCAGGTCAGCCATAACTGCCGTACGAGGCAATGGCCTGCTCTAAATGCTTCTTCTCTGAGCCCCGCACCAGTTTTCATGGAATTAAGTGCCTGCCTCCACCCAAGTTCCACTTTGTCTTGTCTCGTTCAAGCGCTCATCAGGGACGCATGGGGTTTTTTTTCTTAAGCATGTTTCTGTGCATGTGTGCGTGCCCCCCTGTGTGCCTGTGTGCCTGTGTGCCTGTGTGCGTGGGCGAGCAGAAGCCGCTGGTGATGAAGCTGCGGGTGTCATACAAGGTGGGCGGCGTGCAGGATGTGTTGGAGCAAGGGCAGGTCAACAACTTCCCCCCGGGCTTGTAGCATGCTGCCCCGTACGCAACACTGCGCATTGCATGCATCCTGCACACCGTATCGTTGCACACCAGATATGCCAGTATGAGGTCGTATTTTGAGCCGTTCTACTATAGCACAAGGTGCTAGCGATAGGCGGTTTGTGCAAGTCATAATAGAAGACATTCTTTACTGATGTTGTACAGCTGCTAGTAATTCCACCATAACTGGTTTCTCCTGTCAGCGGACGAACAGTTTCTAACGCGGTCGTCCCACATCAAACCCAGAGCACGGCCATCCCGAGATAGCGCGAGCGAGATTTGACAGCAGTTCACAGCCACCACTTGCTGCTAACCCTAATTTCCTTCCGCGACATCCGCGGGCGCTTGATAGAAGCCTCGTGGCCACCCGGCACCGTGTTGCCCGCCAGCATCCTCGTTCGTGCGCGCGTAGCCCGGTCGTTGATAAGCCCGCCCCGAGCCAGACAGGTGGCTGCGCGCGCACATGGCGGCGGCCGCACGCGCGTAGCGGACAGCGCCCGCGCCACGCGGAGACGAGCCTCTCGTAGCTTGCGATCGCGCGATCGCCATCGGCCACTATGCAAGGTCAGACGTGCATGCAAGGTCAAACGTGCACGCAAGGTCAGACGTGCACGCACTGCTCCTGATCCCGCTTCCCCCCTTCACGCATTCACCCAGCCCCGTCCCGCTTCACCCTTCTTTCCACCACCCTTTTCTCCCCTTCACCCGTCCTTCCATCGCCCTTTTCGCCCTCACCTGTCCCCTCCATCGCCCTGCCCTCACCTTTCTCCGCGTGCCCCGCCCCCCATCAGCCGTTCGCGCGCTGTTAGTGCTGCTGGCGCTGGCCGTGGCGGCGGGGGCGGCGGAGGGGCGGCCGGAGGGCTTTGGACGGTGGTTCGTGGTGCCGGCGGCGGACGGCGTGGGGTCGTACGCGGGGGCGTGCGGGCCGGCCGTGGGGGGGGAGACGCCCGCGTGCAACGTGAGCGGGCGCAGCAAGGGGCACGAGCTGCGAAGCTACCCGGATGATGAGGTGGGGTGGGGGAGGGGGTGCGGGGTTGGTGTATGAAGTGGGCGTGTGGGGTGGTGGCAGTCGGTGCACCTTGTGGGTTGGCCCCATCAAAGGGATGCTCAAAGCAACACACAAGCTGAGAAGCCTCTCACCATGCATCCCCTCTCACCATGCATCCCCTCTCACCATGCATCCCCTCTCACCATGCATCCCCTCTCACCATGCATCCCCTCTCACCATGCATCTCATCAAGCTCCAAACGCACTCGTCTCTCCCTCCTCCCCTCTGCGCCCCTGCGCTCTCTCGCAGATGTGGGTGACGACCATAGTGGTCAACGCGTCGTATGACAAGGCGCTGGAGGACGGAGTGTGGCGCTGCCGTGCCTTCTTCGCCGCCCACAACTCACGGGCAGAAGCCATTCCGCTCACGGCGCCCGTGCTCACCATGCCGCGCCCCGAGGCGGGGGGCTACGAGGTGTCGCTGCTGGTGCCGCGGCGCTACTCGCCGGAGAGTGTGCCGCAGCCGGCGGACCCCAAGGTGCGGCTGGTGAAGATGCCGCGCGGCGTGGTGCGCGCGGTGCTGGGGCCGTTCGGGGGCTTCCCCAACGAGGCGGTGTACGAGGGCAAGCTGGCGCGCCTCAAGGCCCTGCTGCAGCGCCGCGGCATGGCCTTCGACGAGAGCACGGGCGCGTATGCCGCGTACAGCAGCCCCTACACTCTGCTCAACAGGAAGCAGGAGGTCTGGATCACGGTGTTCCTCCCCAATTGATAGGGGGACCAGGTAGTGTGCTTGTACAGTGGCTTCTTAACGAGAAGCCTAATGAAGTACCAGGGAGGTTTGGGTCCTGACTCACACCACAATACTACGCGTCAGGGTATTATGGTGCTGTAACTAAATGTCGGGAGTTTGCTGTGTCTGAAAAAAGTATAATTTGCCTAAAAATGTCAGATGCGTGGTTTTGTGAATTTCCAAGAATTCTCTTCAATACAAATTGATTCTAAGTTGAACCTGTGAAGGTACGGTATAGAAGTGGTGGACTTGGGGTCACTCAAATTGTTTGTTCGATCGAACAGCCAGTGCAGGTGTCATCTTGCGTGCATCGAGGATTTTTGTGGCGAAGCGGAGGCGCACAGCGCAACCTGTCGCTGGTGGCAAACCACCGCACCCTGCCCCCCGTCGCTCTTCCCTGCCCCTCGCACTCGCTCCATTCCTCTCTCCCCTTCCTTGGATCGGCCCTCGTCAAATCTGCTACGCTCTCTTATCCCTCTCCTTTTCCCACCCTTCTACCGCCACTGCGACAGCGCCAGTCAGCGCCATGGTTCTCAAGTCCGTGCCGCCTAACCCTAATCCCTGCTTTCCGTCGTTACTCGCCCTATTTTAATGCCCCGACTGCTTCGGTTTGCTTGTCCATTTTCGCCGCCTACCCTGCAACTTCACCGCATCCCTCCCCTCGTCCCCGCTAACCGCGAGTGTGCCGTGCTGTGTGCTGCGTGGTGTGCGTGTGCGTTGCGCGGTGCGGTGCGGTGCAGGACGGAGCTGTGCCGGTTCAGCGGCGCCAAGATCTACCCCGGGAGGGGCATTCGCTTCATCCGAGCTGACTCGCAGGTCTCCCGCTTCCCCCTCCCGTCTTCCTCCTCCCGTCTTCCGCCTCCCGTCTTCCCCCTCCCGTCTTCCCCCTCCCGTCTTCCCCCTCCCGTCTTCCCCTTCCCACACCTCCCTCGCCTCCCCAGTCTCCCCCGCGCGCGCCCTTCCCTCGTCGTGCCACTTCCCTGTGCCCTCACGCTGCGCCCTCTGCGGCAGAATTAGCTGTAACGCGCTCTCTCCCCGCCGCCGCCATGGGGCGGTGCGGAATCAGCGTGTCGTTCTTTTTTCTGCACAGCGGATTCTGCTAGATTGCGGAGCTGGCTGACGGCGCGGTGTGGTGTGCGTGTGCGGGGATGCGGTTGGTGCGATGGGGCTGGGGCGGCAGGTGTTTCTGTTCGTGAACGCCAAGTGCAAGCAGTACTTCCACAACCGCCTCAAGCCGTCCAAGCTCGACTGGACCGCCATCTACCGCAAGCAGCACAAGAAGGTGCGTCCACCGCCGAGCAGCGCAAGAAGGTGCGTCGAGCGGCGAGCAGCGCTAGAAGGTGCGTCGAGCGGCGAGCAGCGCTAGAAGGTGCGTCGAGTGGTTCATATAAGTCGCAGCAAGTGTTGAATAAGAAAAAACTTGGAAGTAATATGCCGGGGTATCTGCGGGGCAACGCGTTATCGATCAGATATTGCGTTGCTGCCAGTGCGGTTGCCTTGTCGTCCATACTGCGACGCCGCCCGGCGTGGTCGGCAGTGCGAGGAGCGGCAGACGGGCAGCGGCGTGGGTGCGAGGACTGCACGAGAAGCAGCTGAGTGGGGGCAGGGGAGGGCAGGGGTCGGTGGAGGAGGGTAGGGGAAGAGCGCAGGTGAGGAGGAAAGGAGAGGGGCGCATGGAGGAAGGAAGTGAAGGGCGGAGGTGGGGTGACAATGGTGGAGGGAGGAGAGGAAGAGAAGGGGCGCTGGAGGGCTTGGAGCAGCGGCGGGAGACGGGGAGTTGTTCGAGTGGTCGAGGGGGTGGCAGAACGGCCACTGCACAGAGTCCGCAGAACGTGCTCCTACGGATACCCATCGCTGGGAGTGGGGGAGAACGGGCGGGCAATGCGGCGGATGGTAGAGGTGGAAGAAGGGTGCTTGCGGGAAGTAGGCGCTGACCAGCGGTATGCGGAGACGGGAAGGTTGAGGCTGTGAGGTTGAGGCGAGATGAGCTGTGGTCCATCGGCCGAGGGTGGTGCCAAGGGGAGTGTGGGAGTGAGGGCGAGACAGCGCGGGGCTGGTTCAGGTCGCGGCGGCGCCGAGTCATTCCACGCAGCCCCCGTGTGTGCGTTGGCCGATGCTCGTCGCCGTTGGCCGATGCTCGTCGCCGTTGGGGCTCTCAGGGGCGCCACGCCCGCGGGTCGCCGATCTCTGTCGCAGTCCCCATGGCTTGCGCCTCACGCCCTGCCTCACAACGCTTCCGCCCTCCCGCTCTCGTGCCTGCCGCCTCTCGTCTGCACCACTCTCCCGCGGCTTCACCCCCTTCCACACCTACCCCTTCCCCCGTGCCCCGCGATGTCTTTCCCCCCCATGGCGCGCGCAGGACGTGCAAGCGGAGGGCGTGCGGCGCAAGAAGCGCGCGGCCACCAAGGTGCACAGCCGCTCCATCGTGGGCGCGTCGCTCGAGGTCATTCAGAAGCGCCGCTCCGAGAAGGCCGAGGTCCGCGCTGCCGCCAGAGATGCCGCGCTCCGGTCAGTTCGCCTCCCTGCCCCCACCCCTTGCGCCCCCATCCCCTCCCCTCGCGCGCACTACCCCGTGGTCAGCCTGCTAGCATGGTATCTCGGGCGACATCAGTGGCGGCTGTGCGCTGTGCTGTACGGAGTCACGCTCCCCATCCCCACTCGGGTGGAACCTGCCAGCCGTTGGCTGCGCCGCTGGTGGCCCGGCCTCACGTCCATTGAACGCACAGTCGGGTCGTCGTCCCTGTCGGCGCTGCTTGCTGCCTTTCCTGCCACCACTGTCTGCCGGGTTGCTTTGAAACTCGCCTGCACCTCCTCTCTTGTGCGCATTCCCCTCCTATGTGCGTGCATGCTCTCGCTCCTGCCATGGGAGTGTGTGCGTGCGCTTGTGTTTGTAAGCGAGTTCGCGTATGTCTTTGTTGCATGTGTGTGTGTGCATCTGCTTATGTGTGTATTGTATGCGTGTGCATATCTGTATGTGTGGGGCTTGTGTGGTGGCAGTGAGATCAAGGAGCGGCTGAAGAAGGTGAAGGACGAGAAGAAGGCAAAGAAGGTGGAGGTGTCGTCCAAGCAGGCCAAGGCCGCCACCAAGGGGGCGGCGCCAAGGGCTGCAGGGCCCAAGGGTGGCAAGGGTGCCGGTGGTGGTGGCGGTGGCAAGCGATGAAGTGCACATGTACTATTGTAGCTAATCAGAGAGGTGAACGCTTCTGCAGCTTGCACACGTATGGAAGGAAACGCTACAGGAGATCACATAATGAAGCATTCTCAGAACCTGAAGAAAGCTTTTGCTGTCTGAAGCATAGTGCAGCAAACTCTTGTCGTAGGATTGAATGTCGAGAGAAAAACGTTCAAGGGTATAAGCCTAACTGTTGTACCCTCTAAGATACGAACCTATACAGTCTAAACAAACGTACCATAACATATATATATATGTTAGACACACCCCCTAGACTGCCTAGGTGCCGTTCCTGATTAGAGAAACGACAACTCAGGGCGGCAGTACTAGTCCAACCTCTGAGTCAAGGGTCTGAAGACCAGTCAAACAAGTACAGACCAGTAGGGCAAGGCCAGGGCGGCACTACTAGTCCAGCCACTGGGAGAGGCCACAAGGCCAGTCAAGAATAAACAAAAGTATATATAAAGGTCAGTACATAGTCAAGGCCCTAGCAGCTGAGAGGTAACAGGAACAAGGCCTAACTGTACACAGTCCCGCTGATGATCTTTAGGCGCAAGCGCCTTTGTAAAGATATCAGCTGTGTTGGCACCGGAGGTGAAAGTGTACTACGCGAGCCTGGCGACGCTGCTACAGCTCGCGCAGGAGGAAGTACCGCAGCTGGATGTGCTTTGCTCTACCCGCAAGTCGAGGCTTCTGACACAGGAGAATCATAGCCCAGTTGTCAGTGTATAGGACTGGTGTAGAGCTAGGCCGCTCACCTAAGTCAGTGAGCAGGAAGGTCAGCCTGCGGAGCTCCTGTGCCGCCATGGCACCGGCGTAGATCTCGGCCTCACAGCTGGACTGGGCAACAGACGAGGAGCGAGTAGCTCTCCACGAGACAGCACTTGAACCAAGGCTAAAGCACTAGCCCTGCGAGGACCTAAGGGTCTCTGCGTCGTCTGCCCAAGAAGCGTCTGTGTGCCCAGTAAGGACCACCAGCCTGCGTCCTCCCAGCACTAACCCCATGCGTGATCTACTCGCGAGATAACGCAAAACCCTCTTAGCTGCAAACCAGTGCTGAGGTCTGTGTCTGCCTGTGGCCACAAGGCGAGCCAGGATGCTGAGAGGGTATGCGAGATCTGGACGGGTGCAACTCATCAGGTACATGAGGCAACCCACCAGCTCTGCGTAAGGACCACTGGGCTCTGCTAACTCCTCAGGAATGGGAGCAGAGAGCCTGTGATCTACTGGAAGACGTGTGGGCTGTGCGGAGGAGAACTGAAGACCGAACCTCTGAAGGACCTGGTGCACCAAGTGTGACTGGGTGTGAGTGATGGTGCGCGCTGCTCTGTCTCTGGAGATCTGCAAGCCCAGGTAGTGGCGCAGCTCTCTTTGTTCAGTGCAGGTGTGTCTCCTCAGCAACCCAGTCTTTACAAAGGCCAGCGCGGTGGTGTCTGCAGTGGCAAAGACCAGATCGTCTACGTAAACAAGGATGTAGAACGGAGTCTGGCCAGAACGAACAAAGAGCGAGGGGTCTGCGGAAGACGGAAAGAACTGCAGGTCAGCAAGAGTAGCACGCATCGTGTCGTGCCACTCGCGGGGAGCCTGACGCAAGCCGTAGACTGGGCGCCGCAGAAGCCATTGGGTCCTAGGAGGGAAGGTACCAGTGAAACCCTGAGGGCGGCGCAGGTAGACCTGCTCGTGTAGACTGCCCTGAAGAAACGCAGTGTCCACGAAGAGTGAGGGAGTGTAACTCGGAGTCACGCTGTGCTGCTACGTGTAGCAGTGCCCGAAGAGTAGTCATCTTCGGCGTCGGGGCGAAAGTCTGAAAGAAGTCCACCCCCTCACGCTGACTAAACCCTCTAGCCACGTAGCGCGCCTTGAACGCATGCGGCTCTCCAGGAGGGCGCTTCACCTTGAATAGCCAGCGGCCATCGACTACGTTCACCCCAGGTGGAGGAACTGCGTCGACGTAGGTGCCGGTGGATCTCCAAGATGCCATCTCCTGCTCCATGGCAGCTATCCACTGAGAGGCCCAAGGTCCCGAGGTCGCCTCAGCGTAAGTGCGAGGGGTCGGGATGTCGAGAGCGCCTAGGTCACCCTCAGGGACTAGCAACATGGAACAGAGATGGAAAGCAACCTCGGACAGGAAAGCAAGCTCGTACTGGCGGTCCTCCAGGACGTCACTACCGAGGGCATGAGCACCCCCGATAAACGGAGGACAGGCATGGTCAGAGATCAGAGCGGTGGCGTAGTCAAGGCGGCGGGTAGAGGCGAAGTCAGCGACTGCAGCGATAAGAGCGTCGAAACAAGAGACCGGAACAGACGGGTCGGTAACGAGGGAGGCAAGGACCCGAGGAACAAGTGGACGAGCGGCGCGAAGGTAGTCAGACAGGGAGGGAGGCGCAACAACGAGAGAGGACGGAGGCGGCGACGATAGGAGGGTAGGACAAGAAGCGTGGGACAGGGGAGACGGGGCGAGCACGGGAGGGACGGCGAGACCAGACGTGAGACGGAGGCGTCGGGTCAGGAGACAGAGGAGGGGACACAGGAGGGGAACGAGGAGGAAGACGAGCCGGAGACGAGTCCGGGGGAGGGAACACAGGGCCATAGACAGGAAGGGGAGGAGACGGGAGGCCGAGCAGGCGAAGGGCTGACACCGGCGGTGACTGCTGCTGCGGCGGCACGACACCAACACCGGGATGGCAAGCTGCTCTACGGCTACCTCCGGAACACTCCACTCCAGCACCCCCAGAAGGAACACCCTCAGGGCCCGAAACCCCGCGAACACCGGTACCACCCCCAGGCCCGCCGGGACAAGCCACGACAGGAACCCCAGGACTAGTACCCACCCAAACGCCAGCACGCCCAGAGTCAACGAACTGCTGCTGCGACGGTTGCGGCGACGGCTGCGGTGGCGGCGGAGGTGGTGACGGCGACTGCGACAGCGGCGGCGACGACGACTGCGAAGGCGGCGGAGGAGGCGATGCCTGGGAAGGGGTAGGCGGCGAGGACTATGCTGCAGGGCCACCAGAGTCAGCAGACTCCTCGACCGGGACAACCGACGGGAGGGGAGTGACGTGAGACACACCAGACGGTGCAGGACGGGGAGGGGGAGGGGGGAGGACAGGGGCGACCGAGGAAGAGGTGACCAGGAACAGGGGGGGAGTAACCGGGGGACCTCTGTGGGGGAAGGGGCGGTAGAAGGAGACGAACTCGTCAAAGGTGACGTCACGGGAGTGAAAGAACCGGTGAGACGGCGTGTGGTAGAAGTGCCAATCGGACGCGTCAAGGGGGAAATCGAGGAAGACACAGGGGAGGGTGCGGGCAGTGAGCTTGTCCGTGCCAAAGGCACGAACGTGAGCAAGGCATCCCCAGACGTAGAACGCAGACGCGTCACCAAGAGACCTGGCCTAGAGGAGGGTCGGCGAAACCTGCGGCTGCAGGGGGTGCGGCCACAGGTTAAGCTGGTGAGCGGCGTAGCGAACAACGAACGGCCGCAGAAAATGGGGTGCACCGTCATGGATCATGCAGGTATGGGCCACCTCCATGACCAAGCCGATGCGTCGCTCAGCGACCCCATTCTGCTGCGGGGAGTCCGGCAAGGTGAACGTCTGGGTGATGCCCTCCGCACGACAGAAACGACCAAGGACACCAGAGGCAAACTTGCCACCACGGTCGGAGTGGAGATGCAAGACAGGGAGACCGCGGTGGACACGCGCAGAGACAAGCCACGGGATGAGAACGCCAGGCACGTCGGCCTTCCGCTCCAGGGGGAACACGGTGGTGTAGCGGGTGTAGTCGTCGACAAGCACTAGGAAGTAGTGCTCTCGACGCGGCCCATGGACAGGGGCGGGGCCCCAGACGTCCATGTGCAGGGTCTGTAGTGGTGCGGCCGTAAGGGGGGAAAGAGGAGGAGTGAGGGGCACGGCGGAGCCGGCCCTCGACACAGGGCGTGCACGGTGGTGCTGGGGAGGAGGGCAACTCGGGGAACGACCCTGGGAGACCTAGGACAAGACCGTGCTGTGACATGTGACGCAGGCGCTGGAGGGCGGGGTGACCTAGACCGTGGTGCCACAGGACTATCGGGTGAGTGAGCGACCGACAGGAGCAGGCCGCAGCAACCTGGGTAGACGCAGCCACCTGAGAAGACGTCCCTACCAGGGGGGTCGCAGTGTCCAGTGTAAACAGGCCGGACACCAGGTCCCGGGGGAACGTGGTGAGGGGGGCACCAGTGGCGGCCTCGGTACAGACAGCATACCGCTCGTGACCAGGGAACGTAGTGGTGACGCCAAGGTCCTGGAGGCAGCCGACACTAACTAGGTTCCTGGAGAATGAGGGGATATGCAGGCCTGTAAGAGAGCCCGAAGGAACCGCCGGACAGGGAAGGGTGGTGGAACTGCGAGCGACTACCAGGCCGGAGGAAGGGTCGGCAAGCGAAACTGCAGAAGGAGTTGCAAGCGGCGTCAGCGTAGTGGAGTCACGGAAGAAATAGCGAGAAGCGCCAGAGTCGAGGGTGAAGGAGAGTGCAGCAGTGGCGTCTGAAGACAGAGCAGCGACAGTAGAACCTAGGCTAAACAAAGCAGGGGATCCTACGCCTGACGCAGCAGGGGAGGCAAGACTAGACATGCCTACACTAGGCAACAAGGGGTAGTAAGAAGCAGCCACACTAGAGTCATCAGCATACATCACATGCAGGGCAGCAACAATCTCATCCATGTCCATATCAAAGATCTGAACGCTACGGCAAAACAAGCTATGCCAGTCGGGGAGGTCGGGCGACGGGCCGAAGCGCCGACGAAACAGGTCGTCCAGGCGACGGAAACAGCGGACAGAGGTCTGACCGATCTTACCGCAAAAAGAACCACGGCGAGGACCGGTCCGGAGCTGGTACTGACAGCGCGCGTCACCCGACCCGCCACCCAGCAGCCCACCACACGCACGACCACCACGTCCACTGCCACCACCAGCGCCAGGCCACCCGGGCGGAAGGCCACTTGCCCGCCTCTGCTGCTGCGGCTGGTGCGAGGGCTGCTGCTGCGGCTGGTGCGTGTCCGACTGCAACACCTACGGCTGCTGAGGCGGCTGCTCGGCTGCACCTGTCAGGGTCCCCTCGTCAGCGCTACCACTAGGTGACCCGACTCCACCACCACCTCCACTTGCACCTCCACCCCCACCGCCGCGCCCAGCCTTGGAGCGGCGGCCCTTCCCAGAACGGATCTGCGCTGCAGCTGCGGACTTAGCCACAAC